AGATTTAAGACTGCAGTGGATTACCCATCAGAGACTCTCGACGATGACCGTAAGGCGTCGCCTCAGAGCAGCTGGTTATAACGCCAGAAGACCAGTAAAACGTCCTCAACTGACTGAGAGGCACATGCGGAATCGTCTGATATGGTGTCGTGCCCGTAGTCGATGGAACTTGGCCAACTGGAGAAGGATCCATTGGTCTGACGAGTGTCGAATGCTGCTACGAACTGTTGATGGTCGAATACGTGTTTGGAGGCAACGTTACACTCGTTTTGCACCAAGGAACATCCAGAAGACCTTAGCATGTGGCGGGAGGTCTGTCATGATATGGGGCTGTGTTTCCTTCGGCTGCAAACTTCCGCTGGTGACAATTCGTGGAAACCTGAATGGCCAACAATACCAAGATGCCGTTCTTCGTCCAGTGGTAGTCCCTCATTTTGACAACCATCCTCTTCAGACAAGACCTATATACATGGACGACAATGCTAGACCACACAGGTCTCGGGCAGTTTTGGCTTATTTGCGTCAAAAAGCTATTGCCACTCTTCCTTGTCCGGCCTGTAGTCCGGATCTTAATCCGATTGAGCATCTCTGGGACATTCTTGACCGGACTGTCAGACATCGTGATCCCCCAGTTCAAAATCTCGCTGGACTTGAAGCCGCACTTCATGAAGAATGGATCCGTTTGCCTCAGAGAAGCAGTCAACGACTTGTAATGAGTATGAGGCGTAGGCAGGGTTGAAGCTGTGGTCGATGTCCGTGGATCATAGACACGTTACTGACGTTTCTGTCTTGCAATAGACTCTGCACTCCCTAGGGTATCTATGATATGGTCTGCTGATATCATGACAGTTACATGACAAAAAAAGTTTTTCAATGTTTTCTAATCCTTCAATTTCTGGTCTTCGGTAAAATTCCTTTCTGCTCATATTCTTTTGGAATACAAGATAATCTTGCTTTGGGACAACTTTTGCATCACATGAGGTTTACATATACGGCTTATAACAATCGTACATCTCGTATAATAGTCATCATTAATTGCCAAAAGTAACAGCTCACAAATATGGTTGGTGGCGCTTAACTTTTGTGCATGTGTATATGGGCCCTTGTGTACTGGGCTTAGAACGAAAACCATTCTGTTCATCAACTAATACATTCCTAATCGCCTGCCATCTATTAAGTCAAGTATTAAGTATAACTGAAAAATCTTACATGGTACTAAAACATGAGTGAAATACTACGATAACCAAGAGGATCTGCCTTTTTAATTGGATTAATAATATTAGTGCGCCAAATATCAGGGCAAACATTGTTTTCGAAACAGTGGGTAAACAATCTAAACGGAACTTCAATACAGTTCGCATTCTTTGGGGAATCTTCTGGAAGTAAGTCAAGTCATGCAGCCTTCCCACGTTTAGCACGTGCAATCACTAAGTCACCCTAAGTCCTGGAAATTGGATGATCTAGGTCAGTTGTATCTGAAGTCAAATCTTGTGTCACAAGATTGTTTCAATAGTCTCAAAAGCATCATTTACGGTTGCAATGCACTCATCACCCTGTAGAAAAGATTACTTATCTTACTCTTTACATAATACAACCAGCGTCAGCAACATGTACGGCTATGGCTAATGACGTGCCCGCTAGGTACAGACAGTTCCCAGGAAAGTGTTGACTGGTCTGGAATAGAGTCCGGAACATTAGTGCCGTCATTAAGGGATGACATCGAAAGTACTTTAAAAATTCTTAAAGTAACTCAGCTGCTCTTAAGACAAGCCGTTCTGAATGTACAAGAATCCTGATTACCAACACGCCCATTGGGCATACATAAGTTACATTCTATCAAAAAGCCAATACAATGATCCCCAGGGGAGTTCTCTTTGAAGTCGATCACCTCCCTGTCTGGGATACAATCAACACTTTCGATACATCAGTTCCAGTTCCAATACGGGAACTAAAATACCAACAAAAGCACAGTATTCCTTTATTCTTGGCTTCATATATATTTTCTACTTATTTCTGAAGGAACTGTTCCATGTCATTTACCCTAGATGAGGACATTAGGGCACAATTTTAAAATTGACATCAAGACGAGATCTAAGTTATACCATATAATGTCACATCAATCTCTATCTGAAATTTCAACGCTAAAATCTTGCGATTAACTGATCTAAAAAAGCACCAAGTCCCTCGGAGTGACACTTGACACGCTATGTAGTTAGCTCGATTGTTGCCTAACCATGTATAGCCATCCACGGCGATGGTTTCACCTTTTAGTAGAAAAGTCTCGTTCACACGAAAGACATCGAAGTTTAGATTTGAAACAACAGTTTGTCGAAACTATGTATCACTGGAATCCCGCTAAGATCCTCCCGAATATCAAAAACCTTGCGGCAAGACGTCCTATGCCTTATTGACAGGGATCTATCGATCTATGGTCTTGTACCGGACTGACATAGACTGGTAGCTTGTTGTTGAAGCAGGTCGCATAGATCGATGTTATCCACTTGAATATCTCTGGATGAAGGACCTCTCTATGGGCACGATTTGTTCATTTGGGTAGGCCATCTGCAAGGATGTTTAATTTCCCAGGGATATGACGTGCTTCGATTTTGCAGCTCACTGAGTCTGCCGTGTAACCTCCTTTAACTAAAGTCGTGCCCCCTTGATGCTGTAGTAGGTTACTACTGTCGTATTGTCTGTGGTATGCAGTATGCCCTTGTTGAGCTGGAATCTTGTCCCTATGTAAATGATATCTTGGGAGAGAGGATTAATTCGGACTCTTTGAACACGACGTGTTCTGCTTTTATGTTTATTGTAGCATCCGTGGGTGACTGGTGGAATGACGTGTCTGATGGAAGAGTTAATGTAGGCATTGATATTCAAGGCTTGTTTGTTGATATGATCCAAATCCTTGTATCCGAGTCCTCGGACAGACCGATATTGTGTGCTCCAGAAGCGTTCATGGATGAGTTGATGTTGTTAATGACGTCATATATATAGGAAGGGTAAGGTAGGGTACAGAATGTATCTGACTTCATCTTGGGTTCCCCATAGCCTGCAGGTTCCATTTTTGGTTTAGACTCCTCTATGATGGACTGTAATGCTGGCATTAGATGGTATAGCTCCTGAATGATGTCTCTGATAGAAAAGTTGTTTGGTCGAAATATATCTTCAGGGACGGGGTCAATGACTGATGAAGTACTATAACTGTTAGGTCTGGACCCCCTAGGCAGGCTGCATGAGGGAGAGCTGTGAAAGCTGTGGTTAGAGCTGTGTGCTTCACGTGCAGAGTAACAGGACCCTGCTGACGCAATCTCGGGCGAGCTGTCGAAGGCAGAGCTCGTACAGGTCGTGGTATGAGATGGGCACGCTCGTAATCTGCATGAGAGTGTTAATGGTGTCTGCTATCATGTTTCTTTTGCGACCTGTTATAATGATGTTTGCGGGAGCACGTGATTCACGTTGATTACCTTTGTAATTAGGTGAAGTTCTGTTCCAAGTGAGTGAGTGAGTATTGTTTTGTCACTTTTAGCAATATTCCAGCAATATCACAGTGGGGGACACCAGACATGGGCTTCACACATTGTACCCATGTGGGGAATCGAACCCGGGTCTTCAGCGTGACGAGCTAATGCTTTAACCACTAGACTACACCACCGACCCTCTGTTCCGATTCCCTTTGTTTGTTAATTACTTTGTGTCTGACCTGGTTGACTCTTGTATGGTGTTATGTCATGCATGGAGCTTGCTTGTGACTTTGTATTTTAGTGTGACAGAATTTTTTATTAGTAAAATTTCTTGAGCAGCTGATAGCATTTGTTGGTCAGTTTAGTTACTGTTGATGAGATTTATTCCACCCTAGTGAATCAAAGTGTAGTTTTGGACTTTTTTGCCGATCTTGTGGCTCTTTTTATATCAGGGTTTTTGCCCCATGGCTTGTACAAAAGTTTGAATTTTGTCTTTGATGAGTCCTTGCAGTAACCCCATCTCCGACAATACTTTTAATAACTACATTGTAATTACCTACAAGACCCATCTTGCTTCTTATACCCCCTTGAAGTGCAGCAGTTCCTGTAGAATGTATTAGTAGTCAAACTTGAAGATGTAAAGTGTATATTGTAACCTATTGTTCAGATGTGTGGAGCAATGTTTTTGCCTGTTTACATCTGGACACACAGGAAAGAAGTGATGGTTTCCCGCCTTGCACATGTGCAGTTGCGCTTCCTGTCAGAGATTGTATTAACCTCACAAATATATACATAGATTGGCAGTGAAGAGGACGTCTGTTGAAAATATCAATAAATTTATGGTGTGATTGACAGCCCAAACAGGAATTTATGAGTGAGTGAGTGTGTGAGTATGGTTTTACGCCACTTTTAGCAATATTCCAGCAATATCACGGCGGGGGACACCAGAAATGGGCTTCACACATTGTACCCATGTCGAACCCGGGTCTTCGGCGTCACGAGGGAACACTTTAACCACCAGGCTACCCAAGCACCACTGGGAATTTATGACAATGATGTAATATTGGTGGGGTATTCAAAGGAATTATGGCGTTTAACATCGCATCCAATATTATGCATGCATGTGTGTGTGACTGCTCGTACTTGTCCAGACTGATACCAATTTTACCTTTTTTAATGCTGAGTGCCAGGTATGGTAACAACAAGTACCATCTTTTGGTATGACACTTCCGTTTATCGAGCCCCATACCTTCCTCTCTCAGGGTGAACACTCTACCACTAGACCACAGAGGCGGTCCTGACTAAATGAATAATTAGTAATGAGTCTGTTAGTAAGCACTTACTAACATAAACTTCATCACTTGGTGACACATGCTTTGGAAGGACAGCCCATTTTCTTTGGATGTCACTCTCAAATGAACTCCAGTTTTTTATATCTCTTCTGAAAACACCTATTCAAAGCCTGCTACTATTAACAAAGATGTCATTTTGTGAAAACTGTACAAAATAAAGTTGACATGATGATAAAAAGGAAAATTAACATGTACCATAAGTTTATTCTAAATATGCAAGTGTTACACAAAGTATTCCTTCAGAGACAAAGCATAGGCTGATATAAAGGCAACACACATTACATGTTCCCTATTTAATGGTATACATGTAGTCAACAATTGGAAGGAGCCACATGATGAACAAATACATGTGCCTCTGACATCCATCCGACATTACACAACAACCTCAACCAGACAATAGAAGCATCAAGGGAAAAGTATTCAAATAAAGGCCAAAATTTAAACAATGGTACCACATGAAAGGCCACTCTTATGAAAGTCGACAAGATATTTTACTCCAATCAAATACCAGTACCTCTCTTCGGGAAGATCCATTATATTTGGTTCAATCACGTTAACTTTCCAATCAGCTAATCAGTATTGATGTTTCTAAAGTCTCAGCAAAGTTGAACAAATGAAGCATTCAGAGCAGCATATTTGATTTCAATACTGAAAGGAACATCAATGGGCTGAATAATGTTGTGCTTATTTCATATACCTTGTTGTTTGACAAAACAAGAAACAAAGAGCTCTGCAAAACAGCAACCAGGAAACCAGAAACAACACATGCCTGATTTTCTGTATTTTGTGAAATGTCTGATGGCAGCCACATTTGATCTCTGATCACGATTCAAGAAACAAACTTGAAATGGAGATCACCTCAACCAACAATTTTCAATCCACAAAGTCCTTAAGTTTTGGAGACGATGTTTCAATCCTTTTCTAAAAATTTAAGATTGCAACCACATTGATGCCTTGAACAAACTTGACCCCTCTTCTCATAGCAACACACACACAAAATTTCAGCTGAATCCATCAACCATTACAGAAAAGACTTAATTATTTTTAAAAAGTTTATTGATGATAATGACAAGATCAGCTACCGTGTCCTTTTTGCTACAACTTAAATATCAATGATGAAAGGTAATAAACTAAAATGAACGACACGCAGATGCATAAGATGGAATCATAAACAGATAAGGGGTGGAAGTTCACACACAAAAGCATGTTCCACATGTACCTTTCCATTGTTATAATCCTGAATCTAAGAGCAAAAAATGTAATTACTAATTAATTACTTTTCAGGCTCTTACCTAGAAGTTGACCTTGATATTACTGTCCAAAGTCTCAAAAACCTTTATTCACATTATCTTGAAGTATTTAAATCTAGATAGATTGATTACCATATTAATACATACTGTGTATTGGACATTGTACTTGTTGATAAAACAAATAAATGTTCTAAATATTATTTGAATCACATTCTAAACTCATATTAGATTTCCTGTGTGAATGGATGTGAAAATATATCCTGGGAGAATCCCTGCAAATTTTTGCTGGTGTTTGTTTTTTCTTGAAGCATGGTGTGTATACATTTCCTTTATCATCATATTAAAAAACATTATTATCAGGCTGGAACAGACTCTCTCACTGGTTTTGAATGATCTCCATGGGCTAAATGTTGAGGAAAGAATCCAGTTAAATGTACTGACTAATAGATAAAGTGTTGGAAACACACACAAAAGCAATTATTGTATGTACCGATCCATGGTTATGATGCTAAATCCAATAGCAAAAACTATGACATATTTCACATCGGTACCATGACACAAATGCCTTACCACCTTTTCTATTAAGTTACATGGATTATTGCAATCAAACATATTTGCACAAGTAATTTGTCATCTAGCATGTATCTTGATATTTGAAAAGGTACAGTGATCTGTAGGTAAATGTGCTCTTGGCCAGACACTGGATGATGTTTTGAAACTGATGTAGTCAAGAATATGAACATATTGAAGAGGACATGACTGTACTGGCATACATATTGTTTTTCTTTTCCTCTTGTCATAAATGTAGTGTTTTCAAAAATAGAACCACAAGGCTCTGTAGCTCACCTAAATCTTTCTGGAATATAATATTATACAAAACATGTCATTCAAGGGTAAAGAAGAATCAACAAAAGAAATAATAGTTTTCACACATGTTCATATTAATACATCATATCTGGCTATGTAGAGGGCCAACCGTAAACAACCATCATGATTGCCATGTAAGAGAAGCCATTTCAACTCTCAAAACCTTAAGTAAAAAGTAGACCACAGTTGATTATATCAACATTATTTACAAATGTTAAAATTAGAGAATGACATGTCAAGAATTACATCTATTATGGTACTCTATCATGTTAGACAATTACTGCAGATGCTAAAATCTGAGACAAATAGAAATGGTGCTTTAATTAATATAGTGAGTGAGTGAGTTTGGTTTAACACCGCTTTTAACAGTATTCCAGTTATATCGCAGCTTAATTAATATAGAATTTGGAGGATGAAGGTAACCTTCATATAGCATCTCTCATCTCATTTCACCTGGGTCAACGATTTCCATGGTGGAGAAGCACATCTCCTTACACTTTTGTCATTTTGTACTGCCAAACTAGATTTTTTAGATTAAATTTATACCATGTAAATCTCTGACATTCCAACTCGTCACAAATATATGTTGTCAAGACCAATAATAAACATTGACAGTGAAACCATATTTCCCAGTCATAAATATGTAATATCTATGATTAATACATTCTTCATGATTGTAATGTTAAGTATTCTATCATAACATTTGAGTCACAGCTATTAATTGTATGCATATCTAGCATACAAAATTGTAAAAGCATCACATGCCATGTTAAAGGAGACAAGATGGATACACTTACACATTTCAAGATGTAATTGCAACACAACAGTACAGCTAAGCTGTCAAAGAAGGTTGTGTACTAAGTGCACCAAAGTGGTGGCGTTAATGGATATCCAAGTATATAAATGATAAAAGCATGTTAATATCTATGTTCATACACAAACTATTTGACAACCTACAACAAACCTAGTGCAGCAAGGTTAACAATCTATCAAACTCATATTCTTGTAAACATTTTAAATCCCTTTTAGATATTGAAATTTATTTCAGAGTTTCTATGTCTCTTCATCTAAGAATCTTTAGATGCAGCAGTCTTAAAACTGGCTGTAAAAACTGGAAGATACCAAGACATGAACTCTGAAGAAAGACTTTGTTCAGACTGTGTACTGGAGTAAAATATTACACAGAAATCAAATTTCACATTTTGCTTGTGTATGAATATGTATATTTGCATACTATTGATATAGGAAAATGTATACATATCCAATTCTATGCACATGATGAAATATTCCATAACACCGGTGTATAACCTTAACAGGACAGCAACATATAAATAGTTGCTAACATATTCACATTGTTTATACCTGTATCTGATTAATTGTATGTTTTAATCGGAGTATATGGCATACCCGGTAGGTAAATTTGAATGTGAAACTGTCTTCCTGTAATGTCTTACCATTAAAGCTTTAATAAATATAAAACTTTCTTCTACTTTTGAGTGGAGGCAGTCAGGTAGCCTAGTGGTTAAAGCATTCGCTCATTACTCAGAAGACCCAGGTTCGATTCCCGACATGGGTACAATGTGTGAAGCCCATTTCTGGTGTTACCATGTATTATATGTGTGCATGTGTGTGTGTTTGTACTAGTCCGGACTAATGCCTGTTTTATTGTGAAAGCTGATTTATTTACCATACCACAGTTTAACATGGATACCCCACTCAGAAACATTATACTGACTCCGAGCCAACCAGTCTTTGTTTTATCCCCTGAATACCAAGTGCCAGCCAGGGTAACAACAAGTACCATGTTTTAATGTCTTTTGGTATGACACGGTCTGGAATCGAACTACCAAGTTGAACCTTCCACTCTCCAGGTAAACACTCTGTCCACTAAACCACAGAGGCGGTCTTCAACTTTGTGTAGAAAATTGGCATAAATAAAGTGTTAACCACACACAAAGAACCATGACATAAGTTCACATTGATGATGTTAATCCAGCAAAATAACAAATATACAATATATAAAGACAAAGAGGACACTGTCATCACTGCCACATTCAAAGATACAGGATAAATTGAAAGCTGAAAGATAACTGAGAGATTAATAATAATGTGGTTTCAGTGAAGAGCTGTTACTTGCAGATAGCATGTATCATATTGTTTCAAAACTTTAAATATAATACTGTCAAATTAACCGGTAATATTAAGAAACAGATTTACACATACATCAATGTACATTTAACACATAACTCCTCTCAACTGTGTAGACCTGTGATATGAATCATCAACTTCCAGACCTGTATCAATACAAGCTGGATATGAATCATCAACTTCCAGACCTGTCTAAATACAAGCTGGATATGAATCATCAACTTCCAGACCTGTCTAAATACAAGCTGGATATGAATCATCAACTTCCAGACCTGTCTCAGTACTAGACTGGATATGAATCATCAACTTCCAGACCTGTCTCAGTACTAGACTGGATATGAATCATCAACTTCCAGACCTGTCTCAGTACTAGACTGGATATGAATCATCAACTTCCAGACCTGTATCAATACTAGCTGGATATGAATCATCAACTTCCAGACCGGTCTCAATACAAGCTGGATATGAATCATCAACTTCCAGACCTGTCTCAGTACTAGACGGGATATGAATCATCAACTTCCAGACCTGTATCAATACAAGCTGGATATGAATCATCAACTTCCAGACCTATATCAATACAAGCTGGATATGAATCATCAACTTCCAGACCTGTCTAAATACAAGCTGGATATGAATCATCAACTTCCAGACCTATATCAATACAAGCTGGATATGAATCATCAACTTCCAGACCTGTCTAAATACAAGCTGGATATGAATCATCAACTTCCAGACCGGTATCAATACAAGCTGGATATGAATCATCAACTTCCAGACCTGTATCAATACAAGCTGGATATGAATCATCAACTTCCAGACCGGTATCAATACAAGCTGGATATGAATCATCAACTTCCAGACCGGTATCAATACAAGCTGGATATGAATCATCAACTTCCAGACCTGTATCAATACAAGCTGGATATGAATCATCAACTTCCAGACCTGTCTCAGTACTGGACTGGATATGAATCATCAACTTCCAGACCTGTATCAATACAAGCTGGATATGAATCATCAACTTCCAGACCTGTATCAATACAAGCTGGATATGAATCATCAACTTCCAGACCTATATCAATACAAGCTGGATATGAATCATCAACTTCCAGACATGTCTCAATACAAGCTGGATATGAATCATCAACTTCCAGACCTGTCTCAGTACTAGACTGGATATGAATCATCAACTTCCAGACCTGTATCAATACAAGCTGGATATGAATCATCAACTTCCAGACATGTATCAATACAAGCTGGATATGAATCATCAACTTCCAGACATGTCTCAATACAAGCTGGATATGAATCATCAACTTCCAGACCTGTCTCAGTACTAGACTGGATATGAATCATCAACTTCCAGACCTGTATCAATACAAGCTGGATATGAATCATCAACTTCCAGACCTGTATCAATACAAGCTGGATATGAATCATCAACTTCCAGACCTGTCTCAATACTAGCTGGATATGAATCATCAACTTCCAGACCTGTATCAGTACAAGCGGGATATGAATCATCAACTTCCAGACCTGTATCAATACTAGCTGGATATGAATCATCAACTTCCAGACCGGTCTAAATACAAGCTGGATATGAATCATCAACTTCCAGACCTGTCTCAGTACTAGACTGGATATGAATCATCAACTTCCAGACCGGTCTAAATACAAGCTGGATATGAATCATCAACTTCCAGACCTGTCTCAGTACTAGACTGGATATGAATCATCAACTTCCAGACCTGTCTCAGTACTAGACTGGATATGAATCATCAACTTCCAGACCTGTCTCAGTACTAGCTGGATATGAATCATCAACTTCCAGACCTGTATCAATACTAGCTGGATATGAATCATCAACTTCCAGACCTGTCTCAGTACAAGCTGGATATGAATCATCAACTTCCAGACCTGTATCAATACTAGCTGGATATGAATCATCAACTTCCAGACCTGTCTCAGTTCTAGACTGGATATGAATCATCAACTTCCAGACCTGTATCAATACAAGCTGGATATGAATCATCAACTTCCAGACCTGTATCAATACAAGCTGGATATGAATCATCAACTTCCAGACCTGGCTCAGTACTAGACTGGATATGAATCATCAACTTCCAGACCTGTATCAATACAAGCTGGATATGAATCATCAACTTCCAGACCTGTCTAAATACAAGCTGGATATGAATCATCAACTTCCAGACCTGTCTAAATACAAGCTGGATATGAATCATCAACTTCCAGACCGGTATCAGTACAAGCTGGATATGAATCATCAACTTCCAGACCTGTCTAAATACAAGCTGGATATGAATCATCAACTTCCAGACCTGTATCAATACAAGCTGGATATGAATCATCAACTTCCAGACCGGTATCAATACAAGCTGGATATGAATCATCAACTTCCAGACCTGTCTCAGTACTAGACTGGATATGAATCATCAACTTCCAGACCTGTATCAATACAAGCTGGATATGAATCATCAACTTCCAGACCTGTCTCAATACTAGCTGGATATGAATCATCAACTTCCAGACCTGTATCAATACAAGCTGGATATGAATCATCAACTTCCAGACCTGTCTCAGTACAAGCTGGATATGAATCATCAACTTCCAGACCGGTCTCAATACAAGCTGGATATGAATCATCAACTTCCAGACCTGTCTCAATACAAGCTGGATATGAATCATCAACTTCCAGACCTGTCTCAATACAAGCTGGATATGAATCATCAACTTCCAGACCTGTATCAATACAAGCTGGATATGAATCATCAACTTCCAGACCTGTCTCAATACAAGCTGGATATGAATCATCAACTTCCAGACCGGTATCAATACAAGCTGGATATGAATCATCAACTTCCAGACCTGTCTCAATACTAGCTGGATATGAATCATCAATACAAATTGATGAAAATACAGCTGTATCAAACTAAACAAGTCTGATCTACACTTAAGTTTGTAAGTGTCTCATTTCTAAGCATAGTCAAATCTAAACGTTGCAATATAAGTATCACAAAAAGAATCAGGTCCCATATGATTCACTGAAATCATTGCTTGATTTTGCATGTGCACAGATATTCAAGAGTATATTTAATTTGGGATAAAAGTTCACAATTACTAAAACTTATACACAAACTGATGTCTGTTTGGTGTTTAACGCTGCACTCAGCAATTGTCAAGCTCGGTGTATGGTGACGGCCTCCAAGTAACTGAGTCTAGAACAGTGATGAGCATGATGAATATATCGTGAGCACCATTCCACGCTGTCAAGGAACCAGGACACACAATCCAGTCACAGAGCCTGGCTTTTACTTGCTCCATACAAGAAGCCTAGCTGATGGGGACCAATTCTAATCAAGAATCCACATGGCGCCGCCAGTTAATAAAGAACAACAATATGGATACTAATTCTGTAAATCTGGGAACATGCAAACACAAACAATTCTTAAGTCAGGTTACAGTCTTACCAATTTACAATCCTTGCAAATTAGGTTGCTTTACAAAGCCATCTGGTATCTTCAATATAATATGATCACAAGAACAATCCTAACTGACAAATGATTACCCTAACTACATTGAAACTATCATCTTCCTGAGGCAAGGGTGTTAACTGACTGTAAAAGTCCAGTTTCCACCCTTGCCGAACTAAGCTTGAATTTCATGGCTTCATGGTAGCCCCACCAGTGGCTATTACAAGTTATGTCCCTTCGACGTCCCTCCTATTGGCCAATCAGATTCCACTCTCACATCACTTGCATTTGCTTGAAACAAAATAGCGTGGCCCAGTCAAAATGATCTGATCGATAATCAAGATCTATATTGTAATAAAACAGGATTAACCCTGCGAAGTGCATCAAATCATTTGAGCACCTTCATGAAAAACATGAGGAGATTTTGAAATTATCAGTCGACAACCAGTACACATGCTTAGCGAATCCTTCATTCAACGGAAATCTGCACTTTGAAATCCATGTTGTTTATGAACCGGATGTCTAGTTCATTGCATGACTTTGATGGGACTATGCATAGACTTGTTAGTCAAGTCAAAATGTAACTCTGAAATTCCAGCCTATTTTGGCAAGGCTGGAAACTTGACTTTCTCAGACAGTTAACTCCCTTGCCTAAGAAAGATGAGAAACTATGTAATTCACACAAGACAATAATTACACCATCTTAACCTATATCATGAATGAGCCTACCTCGTGCCTCACTGAGGCAAGTTAACACAAATACTGCTTAAATACATTGAAAGAATATAAAAGGTCATTGAATTCATGCATAAGTGATAAGGTATTCTGGATAGGCCTGGGTGTCATTAAAGATTATGTACATTCCAGGTCCACTGACATTGTCAACCACAGAATCAAACTGTATGTGATTGGCAGCATCTCTTTGTGGCGGGACTCTCATCCCACCTTGTCCTCGACAGTACATCCCTGTGAGCACCCGGGCTTGAAACATGTGCTTGTGACCCTGTCTGTCTGGCACGGCGTAGGTATTTCTGTCTGAATAAGCAGCTTGAACTGCGAAGTATACACCTTCTCCTACTGCGGTGGCTAAAGGAAGTAAGAATTCATCATGTAATATTTGTCAAACATATTTTGAAATATTTCAAAATAATTTAAGGTCATGATACCAGGGAACTCAAGAAAATGCAAACATTTAAATAAAAACACACATGTGCTTGAGCTTACACTACTGTGCAGTGGAACCCAAATTTCTACCTTCTATAAAAGTTTTGGATGAGTTGACATCTCCCATCCAACCACAGTTTACTGTCTACCAATAAAATATATATGTCTGAGTGATAACAAAAATGACATTTTCAATATAGCTATCATGGCTATTCTGTCAGCAAGTATTAGAGAGGCTAACGTTGGTAACATCCACGTAAATTTCTGCATGGCTTCATGTGTTAAGTACATCATATGTTAAAAGGCACAACACTCCAAGGTATTGAAATATGGATGGCAGTTTTCTTTGCAGAGTCACAATTGGCTTATTTTGCACCATAATCTTGACTGATGTGACTATGGGCATCTGGTGATTACACTGTTTAATTAAAGCGGCACCGGTAAGAAGAGTTGCTCTTATAGAAAACATAAACGTCAGCAGTAGGAGGGTAAACTGACAGTTGGTGGGACAGAAGGAAAATGAAAACCAATGCCACAAAAGAAGCTCACTTCAGCCTTTAGTTTAGGCGAGGTGAAAATATGACTAATGCAGCTCAGTCATTCTCTCTTGAATGACCACCTGGATAGTACATACCATTCTTTCCACAGTAGCTGCGATTAAAGCCACCTTTATAGATACTGGGAATGGCATCCACAGCTGTCCCATGCCACAACACTGTCTCATTCTGATGTCCTGGGTTCTGTTTTTCCAACTGTTGTTTCTTTGCAACATACTGCTGCCACAGGAACTTAGTCTGTACCCGCTCAATCTGAAAACATAAAAAATCATACAGCACACTTTTAAGTTTTCTGGAATATTATATCTCATGAGATTCACAGAAGGGAAAACAAGAACATTCAATACACTCACAGACAGACAACCTCACTGCAGATACTGTGAATGCACATAGCTGGCTGAGAAGTGGGTTGGTTGGTTTGTTGTTTAATGCCACACTCAGCAATAATCCAGCTATATGACGGCGGTCTGTAAATAATCGAGTCTGGACCAGACAATCCAGTGATTAATATCATGAGCATCGAGCCACGCAATTGGGATCGATGACATGCATCAACCAAGTCAGCAAGGCTGACCACCCGATCCCGTTAGTCGCCTTTTACGACAAGCATAGCCGCCTTTTACGGCAAGCATGGGTTGCTGAAGACCTATTCTACCCAGGAAGCTGGCTGAGAAGAGTGAAAACAATGATGTTCAACAATCCCTGGTTTCAAAGGCTTTATGTATTTGGCTTGTCTTGCCAAAACAGAGGTTCAACAAATCATCAAAATAATGGTTAATAATTCTTAGATAAATACCTCTATTACATCATTGCCATAATCCTGTATTTTGGCTGCAATCAGATGATAATACATTTTTTCAACAAAAATCCTCTTCAATGTTAACTACATAACCAATTGCAGACAGCTCATCTTTCAAAACTTTTATCCGCAAGAGACTTCCTCTGTGGCAGAGCGTCCGCCAGGAGAGCAGAAGGTCCGGGGTTCAATCCCCGGCCACATCATACCAAAATACATTAAAAGATGGTAGTTGTTGTTACCCTGCCTGGTACTTGCCACTGAGGGGCCAAAACAAGGAGTGGTTGGCCAACAGTCAGTATACTGTTCCATTCATTAATAGCCATCAAGAGGCCTGTCCAATCCATCAACAGAGCATCGACTTGGAAAGCCATCGGATCCGGCACTGGGCTCATATACACTGGAAGTTGATTGTTTAGGTAGGTTCCAGATGTGGAGTATGCCATAGAGAGGTTAGATTTCTTGATTAAGAATCCATTCCGTTGCTCCAGTTCTCCCTCGTTAGGAAAGGCTGTCTGCTAAGATGTTCACCTTCCCAGGAATATGTCTTGCTTCCATCTGAGTCTAAGGCAAAAAATCATGTAGTTTACATTATCAGGGAGCTGGACTTGGTCCCTCCTTGCCTCTCGATGTATGCCACAACTATGGTGTTGTATGCGGCGATGAGTGAGGAGTAGGCGATTCAAGAGAGTATACAATATTGTCTTCATCTCCTTGCAGTTGATGTGGAGGTGCTCCTCTAAAGCATACCATAAACCCTGGATCATGAGATCATCCATGTCGAGTCGGAGGTGTCCGTATATAGATGGTGCTCAGAAAGACCAATGGATGTCTAGTCGCAAGTCGTGTCTGAACAAGAAAATCCAAGGTTTGAGATCAGAGGGAGATGAACCAGAAGATGCAACATCAATCTTCCTCTGTTAGTCATGTCTTGGGGAGATGTTAGGTTTCCTAGCATGTGGCATCCAGGGAATGTTCTCCAAACTCTTTGTCAGGAAAAGTTGACCCTTGGGCTTTGACTGCAAAGTTGATCATAGAGACTTGAAAGGGCTCTGCAGTATATTGACGGACCTCGTCAACGATATTCCCAAGCTTGTCATTGAAGATCTTGGGAGCAGTGATGGATTGGGACATGACCACCTTCTTAGCTTGAGCCGAGACTGCTCTCAAATTAATCTGTGGAGTTGTTGTCTCTGAGCCCAAAGTAGTTGGGACAACATCCATACTTGAGTGGCAAGTAAGTCCCCTTGCATGGTTTCCTGCAGACTGTGTATGAGGCCAACGTGATCTATATGAATGTCCGACAGCAGTGTGTCCCCTCATTCAATGATTGTTATAGTGGGTGACATACCTAATCCTTTGCCCAGTGCTATTGTTTTTCACAATCATATTAGAAAGAGTTTGCAAATTCAGTAAACCTGGTAACCTGTACACATGTAGAATGCCTCAAAAAGATGATCTGGATCTACATATGATATGTTATTATTCCCCTGACATCATATAGCTGTAACATCACTGAGTGCGGCAATAAAAAACAAACCCATATATATCCTCACACAACATACTTACTACATACAGAATGCCATTAGGATACATGCTCAAACATGAAGGTGTTTGCACTATGTGCACAAACTGAAGATGTTCAATCCCTTGCACAAAGATACAATGTCAGGACCTGTCAGTTAAAATGGTAAGCTGTTGACTAAACTTGGTTCATCCTACTACTGTGAACACTTCTTGAGTAATCACAAACATTCAATAACTCAATGAACAACAAAAATATAGCATATGTTTCACATTTAATGGAGGTCACTGTCTGCCACAATAATCATAGGATTGTCATCACATGTCATGCATAAACAGTCAGATAAATTGAAATAATATACGATTTAATAAATATATCTGCAGGAACAGGTATTTAAGTGAAAATAGCAAACATTGTTTACTAATAACCTTCACTGTGACCTTGACCTTTAAATAAGGTCACTCAAGACCATTTCTAATCTTTGTCACGCCCTAAAGAAGACTGTAACAAGTTTCATAGATCTACAGTAAATTCCTTTTCAATAACGCAGTGATCATGAAAAAGCCTTTTCAGCCTATGATTCACGCTATCAGTAGAGCCTTGATACTGTAACAGCGCAAGTTTGGGCGGCAATAAATATAAACTGAGTACAAGAAATGTCCTTCCTTGAGAAGTAAAGTTAGAAGTGATTTTTTAAAATGTATACAATGTAAATGCAGCAGGATGTGGAGTCATCCCATGGATGACATCGTTACCATGTCAGCTTGCTGACGGGGTTAATCTCTTTGGTTACGTGGACACGGCATCAGACCTTGGACCAGAAGGTCCATGGTTTGAATCACATCAAGGGACTCCGTAGTTTTATAGCCGCTACATAACATTGAAGTTGTAGCTATGGCCAGCTTGGCAAATCAGCGAGGCAGACCCGTGAAGATCCGGGGTAGAATAGGTCTTCAACAACCCATGCTTGCCGTAAAAGGCGACTACGCTTGTCGTAAGAGGCAACTAACGGGATCGGTTGGTCAGACTTGCTGACTTGGTTGATGCATGTCATAATATCCCATTTGCGTGGATCGATGCTCATGAAGTTAATCACTGGATTGTCTGGTACAGACCAGACCACCGTCATATCGCTGGAATATTGCTGAATGTGGCATTAAACAACAAACAAAATTCAGCGAGACAAAAGACAAGGCTGGTGCATGCAGGGGCAAAGAGTGTTGCAAGTCAAAAGCATGCAGTGTGACAATAACCGGAGGCTAAACTAATAGAAAGCTTACTTGATGTTACAGAGCTAAGGAATGAATGTTTTAGCTATACAATACTGAAGGATAACATATATTCTAATTAATACTATATTCTTTGATGTAAGTATCTAAGGTATTTAACTGATTAAATGTCTTCGAGTTCATACAACCTTACTAATTACTTACATAACTTAATATTGAGCTATGTACATATGTACAAATACTTGAACCTGCCACATAACAACACATCAATATGTCAAAAACAATAAATATAACTTGTGTATGCTTTAATAAGCACTCCACTTTGTCAATTTTGTAAGCATCAAGGGTGCTTTTACTGCAAGTACGACATGATGTGGCCCAAAAATATTCAAGTGATCCTACCTTCAAGATGGTGGGATATCTTCCAAGGCTGCTCACAAAACTCTGCTCAACATCTGTGTACTCTTGAGAGGGATTGTTAACTGGAACCATTTCACTTTCTTTTGTCATTGTGGTCCAGTTGGCAGGAGCCTCAAATGATGCACCTGAAGATCATAGATACATGTCAGCAGCCTTGTTTTGTTTGTTTGTTGTTTAACGCCGCACTCAGCAATATTCCAGCTATATGATGGTGGTCTGTAAATAATCGAGTCTGGAGTCTCATGAGCATCAATACACCCAATTGGAATACAATGACATGCATCACCCAAGTCAGCGAGCCTGACCACCCTATCACCTCTTATGATAAGAATAGTCACCTTTTACGACAAGCATGGGTTGGTGAAGACCTATTCTAACCCGGATCTTCAAGGGTCAAGCAGCATGGTACCAACATATTACCACCATAATTCTGAACAACATACACATGCTATTAAGTGTATTGTAACATCAATTCAGCTTACATCAGCTATCGTGATTCCAATACAGGAACTTAGAATAGAAACATTGTGTTACAACAACTTAGTTAACTCAAAATAAAAGTTCCATACTAAAGTGGGTAAAACTGTAAAAATAGTAAATAGGGTAGTTCATGAGACACATTAAAAGGTTGAACTTGTTTCAAGGAGTTACATTTTGATTTACCACAGGATGTACATGAACACATGTTTACATCATTACTAAGGAATTGACCTTCACTTTGTGTGAGTTCATTGGAGTATGAACCTTCATAGAGTGAGGGCCAAACTGTATGAACGTCGGAGCATGCGAGGATATTCGTGAACAATCATGCAGTCACGCTCTCTGACATTTCTCAATGTATACTGAAACGCTGAGACCAAGAATAAAGGTTCTAAATAATCAGAAAGAACACTTATGTGTGTTTTCTTGCTAGGGAATTCCCAGGAGTTTCCCCAGGAATGTGGAAGTAGTCCGTCAGTGTTTACGTCATTTCAAGAACACGGTCTCGTGAAAAACGTATGAATGTCAAATTGTGTTGTTCATACAGTTATGAATGTCAATTTCGCGGTCATGTGACCGCTCTCTCGTCCAATGGAAAAGCCGTATATCGTGTAAACTTCAAATTAAAAAATTATTTGCAGATGTACAATGACAGGCATTGTATATGTTAAAGTGTGAAGAATGGCTTTAATACTATCTACTTGTGTAGAATGCATGCATATTTTCCTCAAACATGGGTACTTCAAAAGCAAACATGAAGAGTGCACCCCCAATGAAGCCCTTTCAGAACAAGACACATGATGTGTGCACATGTGGAGGGATCCAACAATATGTTCTGCAACATGTGACAATAGTTTCTAACCTCAAATAATCTGATGATATTGATCATTGATGCTGAGACCAACATACCTTTGATTAGATCTCTTCTGATGACAGAGACTCTATCACTGGGATAATCTGAATTATATTCTTCCATTCTGGTTAAATCAACAATGTAAATGTCTCCATTAGTGTCAGGCGGCAGAGATACAGAAGACTTCTTGCTCTGATAGGCTTCTTCAATTTGTTGATTGATGATCTTTTCATATTCCACTGTTGTGTGTGAGCCTGCTCTATCTACATCAATGTATGACCACTGAACATAGGATGACAGCATCTCGGCCTTATCAGACAGCTGTTCCTGTCGAAGAGCATCCTGTACAATCTTGTGTACTGCCTCCATGGCTGCGATGACATCATTTGTCAAGCCCTGAAGTCTAACTCTTCCTGATGAGCGGCTGTAGTCAACAGAGATGCCAAACTTGGATCCTAGATCTTGAATGTTTGCTTCCTAAAACAAAAAAGATAGACAAAATGTCATAATTTAAATTCTCTCCCTGCTCCTTGAGCTGCAAGGATAGCTAACTGGTCATGGTGATTTCATGTTTCCTGCAGTCATTCTGTTTTGACCTCCGTGGTCTAGTGGTAGAGCGTCCGCCGGGAGAGCGGAAGGTCCGGAGTTCGATCCCCGGCCGCGTCATACCAAGTGACGTTAAAAGATGGTACTTGTTGTTACCCTGTATGGCCCTCGGCATTAAGGGGCTAAAACAAGGACTGGTTGGCTCAGAGTCAGTACACTGTGTCTGAGTGGGGTATTCATGTTAAACTGCGGCATGGTATCTCAGTGGGCTAGCACTATAAATCGGCATCAGTCCGGACTAGTACAAGCAGCCACACAAACACACACACGTACATGCACGTCGCTTTATAACTGCAATAATCTTGGACGCGACGTTAAACCCAATTTCACCTCACCTCACCTCATTCTGTTTTGCACAAAGATACAATGTCATGACCTGTCAGTTAAAACGGTAAGCTGTTGACTATGTCTGTCTATGTAAAATCAAACCAAACATATTTCATTGAGGAATTACTTAAAAACCAAGTTCTACTTTGTAGCAATTTATATCCAGAAACCTCTTGATTTCAGTGAAAGTCACAAATGACATGACTACTAAAGTTAAGTTCAGATCCACTAAAATATGCTCAAGATATATATCATTCAGGATCTTTCTTACAAGGATGAGCTATGTAAATAACCACTAATACCAACTTAGTTTACAGGCCACTGTACTAGTCTGTTTGGGAGAATGTTAAAAAAAAGTGTTTTCAACTAGTACAGATTGCAGCATCCATTTGATTTCTTTCACCATGTTCACAATAATGTTCCAAGTCCTTTATTCCTGTACCATAAGTCTTATCAAACAAAATAATTGTTTGTGCCTACCCTATTGCTGCTTCTTAAGGTCTAAAATCAAATTCTATTCTAATTCTGTTTTGTTGTAAGTTGTAAATAACAATGATCTTCACATGTAAAGGTACTCACCTGCTGTTTAGTCAACGTCTTGAGTGCTTCATCGGATATTGGCCTTGTCATCATATTATTTTGGTACTCGGTTTCTAACATAGATTTTGCTTGTTCAATATGTTTGATGTCATCCGAGAAGAAGTAGAGGGTGACATCATTCACCGGCTGAACTGTTGGCTGTGTGACATGGCCAGTCTGATCATCAGATCCCCCCAAGACAAAATCTACAAAACAAGAGTGAAAGACTCACATGCTGACCCACAACAGCTTGATGAAACATGTATTTCTGATTAAAGTGAGTGAGTGAGATGGGTTTAACGCCGCATTTAACAGTGTTCAAGATATATCATGGCATGTCAGCTTAGTGTGGGGGGAAAGTCTGAGGTGATGCAGGTCTCAGACATGTACCACCATCACTGAAACCCACGAGCACGGGTATGGTGCTGACAAACCTAAAAACATATACGGGGCGAACCAGCTTTCGAACCCACTATCATAGGTTTCTGGCCTGCCAAAGGGACGCAACTCTGCACAGTGAATCGCAGTGCCTTAGTTGACTGTGCCACTAGTGCCCCCATTTCTGATTAGAGGAATTGATTTGCACACAACAGTCATCACAGGATCACCCCAGTCCTATTTGGATGAATAGCAAACGGTGTGTGTGTGGTTATTGCTTAATGCTGCTGTCAGCCACATTGCAGCTATAAGTCGGTGGCCTGGACCAAGCAATCCAGTGATTGGTATTATGAACAACATTCAACACCATTGGGGCAAGCTGACCTGCAATCAACCATGCCACAGAGGCTGATCTTACGATCCTGCATAGCTTGCTTTTGCTAACCCGTGAAGATCCGAGGTAGAATAGGTCTTCAGCAACCCATGCTTGCCGTAAAAGGTGACTATGCCTGTGGTAAGAGGCAATGAACAGCATCGGTATGCTGACTTGGTTGATGCATGTCATCGATCCCAATTGCGTGGATCAATCCTCATGATGTCAATCACTGGATTGTCTGGTCCAGACTTGATTATCAACAGACCGCCGTCCTATAGCTGGAATATTGCTGAGTGCGGCATTAAACAACAAACAAACAAAGCATAGCTTGCTATGGACCAATTCTAACATGATATCCAATTTTACGACTAGCAATGGTGTTTGGGACACACTGTACCCTGAGTGTACATAGGGTTGCAGATTTGCAAACAGCTTATAATTACCGTAAATTTTTTGGAGCTTTCCTTTCTTTTTGGTAGATAGAGCCTTGCTAACTCCTGCAATGAATGGGTCAAGCATATCTTTCTGGAAAATCACCATTCGAATATCTGATATCATTCCATGTTTTTGAGGAGAGCTCTGGTAGTCCTTCACAGCTTCAATCAGGCATGTGGCCATCTGTTCTGGTGTCATATTGCCCTGACCTGTTGAAAAGTTTAAAATGTAAACTTCATTTACAACATTCTCAATGATTTAATGCAGGCTTTTTGCAATATGCAGCTCACTTCGATATACTATGTGATTATAAGACATAACAGAGTAATACTCAATACTTCAAAATGATATATAGATTGGTTATGCCAAAATGGTGCATTAAATTACTTCATCTATACAACAGTATAGTTTGGATAGGCATATAAAACTGAAGAAATGCTTACATTTTCGTTGTGATCATTGTAATTCCTGCATTCTAATTCGCTGAATTGGTCACGTGTTATTGCATTCATTTCTGAATGAACGTAAAACAATTAAGCCAGGCCCACAAAATGGCCTACTTTTATTACTACAGAATGTCTAGGAATCCCTATATTACAGTTGAGGGAATTCCCATTCTGCTCACATGTATCGTCGTGCACTGGACATTTATTGTAATTCATGCATATTCATTGTCCAAAGTACCCATTGAGACCGAAGGCCGAGAAGGAATGATAAAGCAAACGTGGAGGCTTGCTTTGCCAGTTTTTTGTCCGCTCGCCTGGTTTCCACAAATTTCATGTCTTTGGGTTTCATTTCTAACCTGCATTTTTGCAACTATTTCTTCCAGTTCTCAGGGAACTAATGTTTGAATTTGGCAGTAACTGACCAAGTCATTTGAAACAGCTGCCTTCTCCCTTGTGAAGTATTTCAGTGAAATCCCACTTTTCATTACAACCATTCAGTTGAGTTTGCCTGTGCAACTTTTGGGAGATACCCTGGAATGAGCACATGGCTGAATATACTTAGTCAGATGTTGACTTGGCTCCCTGTTGAGTCCTATGTACCAGTACATGACATCCCTTACATATTTTTTCCGGTTTGTTACAGTCTGACTATTGCAGTTCTTCTTGCCTCTTGCCTGGATTGACAGGTCCTATGAACTTTGTTTTCATCCTACTCTCCTTGATTGTCTGCTGACTTTGTGGGCGTGTCAAGTTATGTGCAATAAACTCCAGTCAATCCTTAACCGAAATAATTTGAGCAAACTCTTCATCCAGTTGAGCTAAACATACGTACCTGTTCCAAGGGCTGGGAATGCTATTGACCACACACCAGGTAGAGTTCCAGCTTCTTTAAGACATTTTGAAATGACTTTTTTCCAGTCGTGCTTAAAATAATCTCCAGAGACATGAATAATGTAGTCTGCTTTGAGACCTCCTGCTGTCGTTGTAACAGTTCCTTTACTTTTCATTTCACTGGCTGAAAATATAAAGTATGTTTAGTCAATGCTATGTTTTGTTTTGTTTTGCTGAAATGCATCAACCAAGTCAGCAAGCCTGACCACCTGATACAGTTAGTCGCCTCTTAAGACAAGCATAGTCGTCTCTTACGGCAAGCATGGGTTATTGAAGACATATTCTACCCTGGATCTTCACAGGTTCAATGCTAATTCCAATTAAATGTACCAATATAAATTGAACTGAAGCGGAAAAGCCAAATCATCTTCCTGAGGCAAGGGAGTTAACTGACTATAAATGTCAAGTTTCCACCCTTGCCAAACTATCCTAGAATTTATATTTTGGCTGAACTAACCAGTCTATGCATAGTCCAATCATAATTGGGTAACAAAATTAACATCCGGTTCATAAACTGTTGTTCAGATTTTGGTTGATTGCAGGAGTTGCAAAACATGTGTAACGTAACTTTAGTGTCAACAGATATTTTCCAAATCTTTTCATGTTTTAAATCAGGTGCTCACATGATTTGATGCACTTCACGAACTAAGACCCATATTATTACAATATAGATATTGATTATCGATCAGATCGTAATCGCTTAGCGCCACCATTTTGTTTGAAGCAAATACAAGTGATATAACTTATAAGAGGTGGAATCTGATTGGTCAGTAGGAGGGACATAGAAGGGACACAACTCTTAATAGCCACTGGTGGCACTATGATGGAACCAAGAAATTCCGGCCTAGTTTGGCAAGGGTGGATTTTTACATTCTGTTAACTCCTTTGCCTCAGGAAGATCAAGCCAGATTGGGTAATGACCTTTCTTACAGACAAGGCCAAGTCTGCTATGCAGCTCATATGTCCCTGAGGAGTCATGGGAAGATAACTCCACATAGTAGAATTGTTGTAAAAATCTCTATTTGCATCTGTCATTCATGGTCACATCTGTGAGAGGGATGTGTGTGACCCTTGTATGAACAATCTGTGAGTCAGATAGATCAGGTGAATGACCAAGTTGTATTTATGCTGCTTATTTAGTAGAATGGGATTCCCAAGGACATACACAAAACTATAAATGTCACTACATTTGGAGTTTGAGGGACAATTTGTCTCGCGCTGAGAAAGAACTTGGAAAAAGTGATACCAAGGACAGGTAACTCTTGATCGTAATGTTTCAGGTAACTTAAAATTGAGATTTTGCCATGGATTACAGATGTGAAATGGAATGCTGATGTTCAAACAATATTCAAATTTTCTTTTTTCCTGTATATCTATAAAGGAGTAATTTTCATTTAGCAACTGGTAGTTTAGAGAGATATCATTGTAAACAACATGCTTAAATATGCTGAAAACTCACTGCTGAAAATTATCACTAGATCAAGATCACTGAAAGTTATTACTTAAAAGTAATGTTCATATTTGTATAAATACTCTACTATAGAACCATAACCTAGAAAAGTTTAAAGAATGATCAAGATGAAAATGAAAAATTAAATTGTTTCCTATGTATGGTATTATATAAACTGACGTCCAAAAGAAACTTTACCAGAGTTTGAAGTCAGTCTTGCTCAAATACAACAAAACATACATGCATGAAGTAAAGTGTATTGAGAAGATCAATATATCAACATAATAACACTGAAAATGACAATCATACCGCGACCGAGAATGACGTCAGAGCCCCCCAAAGTTGGGTGTGGTACAAAACTCGAGCTTTCAGAATCATGTACAATAGGCAGAGTACATAAACAATTGCTCACGTTAAATAACAAGTCATTAGTAGCGTGCGTGACCACCAAATGCCTCAATACACGCAAAAACTCTTCGACGCACAGAAAAAGTCAGTCGTCTGATGAGGTCACGTGGGATTTGACGCCATTCTTTTTGGAGGGCCAAGATCCGTTCTTGCGGGTTGGCTGGAGAGTGTGGTCGTTGTCGAACACGACGATCCATCAAGTCCCAGAGGTGTTCTATGAGGGACATGTCGGGTGAGCGTGCATGCCACGGCAGGGCGTTGACGTTGTTGGCTGCGAGGAAGTTAGTGACAATTCTGGCTGTATGGGCTCTAGCGTTGTCATGCTGATAAATGACACCACGTGGCTGCTGTTGGAGAAATGGTAGGACAACTGGATGAAGAATGTTATCCATGTAACGCTGAGCTGTCAAGTTTCCGTCAACGATGACCAGCGGTGTCCTCTCCTGCCCACAGAACCCTCCCCACACCATGACACTCCCTCCACCATATGGTATGACCTCCTGCACACAACACACCGCCGTTCGTTCCCTCCTTCGGCGGTAAACACGTTGTCTTCCATCAGCCCTAAACATACAAAATCGACTTTCGTCAGTGAAGACAACCCTCTGCCAGTCACGTCGTTGCCAACGTCGTACAGTCCGGGCCCATCTCAATCGCAGACGACGATGTTGCGCTGTCAATAGCTGTCCTCTGTATGGTCTAAAAGCCCTGATTCCATGAGCCCTGAGTCTCCTGGCCACTGTCTGTCGATTAACCCTGTGACCTAAGGCATTTGTCGCCGATGACGTCATTGTCAGGAAGCGATTTCGGAAGGTGCAAGGTACGCAAGTACCGGTCATCATGGGGCGTGGTCACCCTGGGTCTGCCTGTTCTTGGCCTGTCAGTGGTCCGCCCTGTCTGTCTGTAACGTTGCATCAAGTTTGTAACGGCAACACTGCAGCAAACAAAGGTTCGTGCAATATGGGTGTGGGTGGCTCCAATCTGTACCATACCCAAGGCTCGTTCACGTTGTTCGACTGTGAGTCGTGGCATTTCTTTTGTGTTTTTTTATCACTTTGGATGTCTGACTTGCCATTGCAATCGTTTTATACCCTTACCTGCACATGCATTTGCAGTTGTCTGTGGTGCACATGTTTTTCACTTTTTCGCGTGTTATCTCGCAAACATGTAACAAAAGGTTAACATTTTCTGCATACACTATTGTTGTATTTAGGTTATGTGTTTTAGTTAGACCTCATCGAAAAAACTTTATACTTTGTCTGAAATTTATATTTTCAGTTGGTAAAGTTTCTTTTGGACATTCCTCTGAAATCCCTGTGGGATCCGACATAGATTCAATCCTTGTGAGATCCCAGTGGTATCCGACCTAACAGCAAATACCTTATCACACAGCAATCCCAAATGTCAATACATACCTTTGAGGCTAAGTTCAACATGAAGATTTTCTCCACCTTGTTTCATTATAGACTGGGACACTGCACCTAGACGATAACAAACAAGCTGGGTAAGATCATTTTCTGACATGTCATTGTGGTATTATCCAAATCCTTTAATTTTGTCACTGTTTACAACTGTCAGTCCAGTCAAAGGTAATGAAGACTTGAACTCTGTAATGGTTACTTTCTTATAATGTACAGCATTCGAGAATGTACACATATTGAAATGATACATCGTCTTTCTGGATGCCTCTTGACTTACCGATTTTCAGGTTGAGATCAGTGTTGGTGCTGTTGACAATACAACTGGCCTTCTCCTTCAACAAATCACCTTGTTTAATGGTCAGCTTCACCTTGCCCAGCTGATAAACTTGAGTCAAATCTGTTGTAGTGATAAGCTGCCAGCCGTCTTCTTCTGTTGAACCTGACAAAAAAAATTCCCAAACTCAATGTTTTATATATATACAGAGAGAGAGAGAGAGAGAGAGAGAGAGAGAGAGAGAGACACAGAGAGAGAGAGAGAGAGAGAGAGAGAGAGAGACACACAGAGAGAGAGAGATAGATATAGAGATAGAGAGAGGGAGAGGGAGAGAGAGGGAGAGGGAGAGAGAGAGAGAGGGAGGGAGGGGATAGAGAGAGGGAGGGAGGGAGGGGGGAGAGAGAGTGGGGGGAGAGAGAGAGTGGGGGGAGGGAGGGGATAGAGAGAGAGAGGGAGGGAGGGGGAGAGAGAGTGGGGGAGGGAGAGAGAGGAGAGGGAGGGGGAGAGAGAGAGGGAACATGTCAGTAGTATGATTATGATCTCCAAACTAAACTGCAGAAATCTGGACCTGTTTAAATAATGAAATATCATCGAGACCTGCGGATGTTCTATGTTGTGTTTGATTCATTTGGCCAAAGTTTCTTTGACTCCTGCGACTGCTGCGTTGCGTGTGCCCACTAGCACCACCAATGGCTTGCCCCTTCTGGTATTCAAAAGCCTGAAAGGTACAATGAGAGTAACAACTTAAAAGTGGTGCACCGATTGACATAATGATTAGTTTGACGATATTTTGTATATGTATATAGAAATATGATCTATCACACAAACTTCAAAAATATATATTACTAAAAAATAATATTAACAAAATCTCAAAATTCTAAACCATACTATAAAAGTGTTTGGTTCTGGCTGTATATACAGAATGAGTGAGTTGTCTGCATCAAAAACAGCCTAACCCCTACCTCTTACTGAATGTGCATTTCCCATCAGATATGCATTATGAAACATTATGACTACCAAATCAGGTGAAGCTGACCTCATCAATATCTGTATTCAAGTTTGCATCCTTATTCTGTCTATCTAGTCCAAAGCCTGTAGAAACCCGGAAAAGAGTGAAAAAAAACACTTCCTCTGTAAAACACTACTTCTGAATTTCTATAAAAAACATGACCAATGCAATGCAGTACACTTTTGAAAACGAAAGTCCTGTTCCTAGTGCTCCTTATTCTGTCTATCTACGTAGTCCAAAGGGTTACAGGCGGGCAACGCCACATTTCGAAAATAGATAGCCCAAATTGATGTGGCGCTCCCGGCAATGGTTATGGTTGCGTGATTGTATAATGTGGCTCTCACGGCTATGCTGTCAAAACATGCTTTGTGATTCTAACAGGTTACCGTATATAACAAAACAAGTCTTGTTTTCTCATTTCTTATTCAACAAGGATATATATTCATCAGAACTTTACATTGATGAATATGAAGAGCATATGAATATCATAATGGATCATAACTGCAGATGAAGGAGGTCGCCCACGTGGTCAGCATATTCCATCTCACTCAGGTGTTGGTTCAGGAGCTGGATCTTGAGGGACGCAATACGTGCATCGATTGCCTTGTACTTCTTTCTTCGTGAAGGTTCTGACCACTGGTGAGAGAGTCTCAGGACTGCAACCTCTTTGAGTGACTGCTCTCGCTGAAATAGCTTCACTACCTCGTAGATGTTCGGGTGGCACTTCTTGGCAAGTTTCTTTATCTTGTTGTGCCACCCTTCCAGGTGATTGTTGGTACGGTGGCCTTGGTTTTCGGGATGAAGGCCTGTCCTTGAACCCAACTGGTTGTCACGTAGTCCATGAAAGCAGTCACTTTAGGGCCAGCAGGAGAGTCAGCAATGGCATCAAGCCACACATCATCCACTTTGTCACGAGGTACTAGAGGGAGGGCAGCAGCTCTTCTCACCAGCTTCTTCACCTCCTCATCTTCCTTATAGTCCATCACCAGACCTTCTTTCTGCACCCTCCTCCAGATACATTGGGTGAAGTGAAAGAAACACCCTCTAACTAATGTCCCAGGAAATACATCAGTCACGGCATTGTGAGCTGCACGTTCAAAGTCCAACTGAATTGTAAGTGGGGCAAACTCTAGACCTCCTCTACTAGCAAAATCGCATAGGTACTGAAACATGTTGACATAACACTCTTTTTTTCGATTGGACAACAGACAGTAAACTAATGGAAACATATGGCCAAACACCTCAGCATGTAAACAATAAATCTGATCAAACAACTTGGGACAGGCATAAAATGTACCATCACAAAATACAATGTCTGCAGTACACAAATGTTCAATGTTCTTGTCTGTAGTGAAGATGAGGATGTCGTCACTAACACGGTGTAGGAACTGGTCGCCTCCCTCAGTCTGGGAGTACTTCTCCTCCAGCTGGATCTGGGGTCTGCTGTCAGGAAGGCGGGGCAAGGTCTTGTGTCTCTGGCGGTAGAGGATAGTGGTGAGAGACTTCAGGGCTGGTATCTGCTTCAGGAGGTCATCTGAGACGATGTCGTGATGTTGGCGTAGTCTGGATATCTCCTCTCCGTAGATAGTGGGTATAGGTGTCGTTTCTGTCCTCGCTCTCTCCATCAGTCTAGCCTTAAAGGCATCAACCTCAAACTCGAATGGTTGTGGGTCGTGGGAGTGACCCATGATCTCAATGGCGTGGAGCAACTCACCCAGAGTTGTGATCCTTGCAGTGCACTCCTTGACAATACAGGACCAGTATCTTCTTTCACCACGACTGCTCTTACACCGAAACTTAAAGCCATCATAGTATAAATGTACGCCTCCTCTGACACTTTCAATGAACTTTATTTGAACTTGTGCGTTTGCCATGGTTATGATATGGAGTGAACACGACATCACTTAAATATGTTATGAATAACAGGATGAACTCAATGTCAATTAAGACGGCCTTTGATCTCTAAAGAACACCACGCTTCGTAATTTAAATGTGAGATACTCATTTAAAGGTATCTCTAAAGAACACCACGCTTAGTAATTTAAATGTGGGACACTCATTTAAAGGTATTGGTAATCGGATTAATTAATTACCCGCTAGAATAGGTGAAATGCACTCAGCTGGAAATGTGGCCCTACCGGCAATGGCCATTTCTGAAATGTGGCGCTCCCGGCTAGACACCGTCCAAAGCCGGTAGAAACCCGGAAAAGATTGAAAAAAACTAGGGCTGTTACGATTCACTCATGTATTCGGTGAACTGCTGACTTGTTATTGTATTCGTCAATAAATATTCGTATTTGTTACCCTATATTCATTATACAAATCGTATTCGCCTTATAGTGTATTCGTTGCAGCCCTAAAAAAACCACTTCCTCTGCACAACACTACTTCTGAATTTCTATAAAAAAACATGACCAATGCAATGCAGCACACTTTTGAAAACGAAAGTCCTGTTCCTAGTGCTATCGTAACTACAAAGTATTAAGCCCTTCCAGTTTAATAACACCACATCAGGTTTTGGAAACACATGCCCAACGTTTTAATCTCTGTTATTCCTTTGGTACATACAGCACATGTGCAATCCACAGAAACTAGTGGCTTATGTTTCCTGATCTACGCCGATCACTCTCATGCATAAAGTCCCTTCAGAAACAAGCTGATATAAGAGCATTGGTGAGGGAGTGAACACCATCAAGTCACTTCCCGTATCTTTATCTACCATAATAAATAGTGTATGTGCAATTCTGGTCTAAATTGTTTGATAGGAATTCCTTGGAGTGAGTGAGTGACGTTTTACGCCACTTTTAGCAATATTCCAGCAATATCACGGCGGGGACACCACAAATGGGCTTCACACATTGTACCAATGTCAGGAATCCAACCCGGATCTTCGGCGTGACGGTCGAACATTGAATTCCTTGGAAGCTGACACATGACACAGTAGACATTTAAGGATAACAACTATATGTCTTGCTTTACAATGGTATAAGAATCTATACCAAAATGTTGCTGTAACACTAGTACGTAGTTTTATAAATATGAATTCTCCATACCACGATAATATTTAATGTATATACAACTAAGGAGTAAATTGCTTTTAAAGTGACCTTAACATAACCATGAAATATGGCAGGTATTGAGTTGGTTTTCTTTAAGTTTATCTTTACTCAATGGAATATGCTCATATTTTTCCTAAGTAATTTGTAATTTCCTCAAATTTGAGCCATGTATCATAATGTGACCTCTAGCGACTTTGACCTTCTAAGGACGTCACCCAAATGTTGATGCAATGAGGACCCCACCCTAGAAATCATGAATATTAAATTTCATCAAAATTCAAATCAGTCAACTGTTGGCTAGTAAACATTTGCATTAAAGTTATTGGCACAGACTGTTCTTGTTTCTACCATGAACTTATCTACAGAGACTAATGATGTTTGATTGTGAGACCTATCTGCTGCTTTGGCTAGGCAGGGAAAGGTGGGGACAATCCACATCTGGACAACCCGTGAAGATCTGGGGAAGAATAGGTCTTCAGCAACACATGCATGTCATAAAAGGCGACTATGCTTGTCGTAAGAGGTGACTACCGGGATCGGGTGGTCAGGCTCGCTGACTTGGTTGATGCATTGCATCAAGTCCCAATTGCGTGGATCGATGCTTATGATGTCAATCACTGGATTGTCTGGACCAGACTCGATTATTACAGACCGCTGACATATAGCTGGAATATTGCCGAGTGCGATGTTAAACAACAAACAACATCTGGACAAAGATTTGGCTAATATAAGTGCAAAGTGATGGAAGAAACAGCAAATGTAAACCAGTGTCATCAGAAGATGACAAATCCCTAAATAGCAAAGGGCACCACTTCAGCCCTTGATTAATACATGTACCAAGTTTGGATGAAAAATGTTGAATAGTGTTTTAGTTCTGCTCCAGAAACTTGTTACCATGGAAACAGAGAAAAATCAAATTTTAAAATTATTCCTAAATAGCAAAAGCACCACTTCAGCCCGTGGTGAATACATGTACCAGGTTTGGATGAAAAGCCTTCACAGTTTTCATGTTGTGCTCCAGAAACGATGCCCACCCCCACCTTTTGAAACTAAATCCAAATTGTTTCCATGGAAATCAAGAAAAACAAAAATGCCCCAAATCCGCAAAGAGCAAAAGGCACCACTTAAGGATCTGTTCGATATATGTTCCTAGTTTTGTTGAAAAATATTAAACGGTTTTCGGATAAAGCCCTGGAAACGAAATGATTGCGATGAGGGACGGACAGACAACACCGAACTATATCCCCCGCATTATATGCCGAGGGGATCAAAAAGTATTTCAGTGGAAAAACAAAATCATCAATCAGGATAACCACAGTAACAAAAGATATCCTATTGGTAACCATGGTAACACAAAAGCATCAGTACCTTTATTGTCGGTGTATCATTGTGGTACACAACTATCTTCACCTCCTGGAGTGATGTTCCGGGGTTGTCCTGTCCGAACTCTTCCACCGTCTCCATCATGGTTTTGGCCACCACATCTCGTGGGTATCCCAGGTTACCAGTACCCAGTGCAGGGAAAGCAATGGATCTGTAGCCTTTTTCTGTAGCTTTTTTAAGGCAGTTTGCAACTAAAGTTTGCAGAATCTGAAAATATAGACAATTATGAGCTTTGCTTGTCCACCTGCAACAGCATCCTGATAATAGATGATGTTTAATCATTACTTTGAAGGAGTCTGGAAACAACCTCACTATTTGGTGCTATTCCATCTTATTAATTGGCCTCATTAACTCATATCTAGTCATATCTAGTATCATGCCTAACCGATAGTTCCCTAATCTAACTAGAGATCTAGCTGTACAAAGTCATGTAAAAGACCATTTGGAGACAGTTGACACAACGTTGAAACGGAGTGTGTACACCTGCTTGTCATCAGCCCATGGAACTACATTCATGATGCTGATTTAATAAGATTTTTTCCATAGCAAGTTGCAAACAAAATATGTGTTGGGGTTGTTTTTGAACTGAGACATTTGAAACAAGCATGAAATACTCATATCATCCACCAATATGACATGTCCGGTTATGTGCAAGGCATTAGCCCTCCGGAAACGAGCATTTTCACTTGTCATTGTTTTCTTTGGAAACTCGAAAAATAATTTTTTCAAAACTTTCAAACTATCAAAAGGTACCAGTTTACCTCTAGACCTATCTATATGCCAAGTTTGGTGAAGAAATATTGTACATTTTTCAAGATCTGCTCCAGAAACGAGCACTACCACCATTTTCAGTCAAAGTCAAAGTAGTTGCCATGGAAACTCGAAAAAATATATTTTTATAAAATCCTATACCGGTACTATCAAAAGGAACTAGTTCACTAATACACCTATCTGTGTGCCAAGTTTGGTTAAGATATCTCTCATGGTTTTTGTGTTCTGCTCTGGAAATGAAAAATGATGGATGGAAGGACTGACAGACAGCACCAATTCCTATATCCCCCTTCTACTTCATAGTGGGGGATGATAATCCTGTTTGGTTTTCCAACCACAGCAAAAGTGTGCCAGTCAAACATGGTGTATAGGATAGTGTGCCAGTCAAACATGGTGTACTGGTTAGTGTGCCAGTCATACATGGTGTACAGGATAGTGTGCCAGTCAAACATGGTGTACAGGATAGTGTGCCAGTCAAACATGGTGTACAGGATAGTGTGCCAGTCAAACATGGTGTATAGGATAGTGTGCCAGTCAAACATGGTGTACAGGAGAGTGTGCCAGTCAAACATGGTGTACAGGATAGTGTGCCAGTCAAACATGGTGTATAGGATAGTGTGCCAGTCAAACATGGTGTATAGGAGAGTGTGCCAGTCAAACATGGTGTACAGAATAGTGTGCCAGTCAAACATGGTGTACAGGATAGTGTGCCAGTCAAACATGGTGTACAGGATAGTGTGCCAGTCAAACATGGTGTACAGGATAGTGTGCCAGTCATACATGGTGTACAGGAGAGTGTGCCAGTCAAACATGGTGTATAGGCAATATAGACACCCATACAGTTAGTTGTCTCAGATATCTGTTAACATGTAGAGCCCATGGTCTGCATGCAACTCTACTGTGAAGAGTGGAACCACTATGAAGAAACAGTCTGATCAAACACATTTCTAGTTACCATTTCACCGTTCTGATCATGTGGCCAGCTCGGTAGGCAGGTGTGAAATATACGCTGGCACATGAGGTTGCCGGCGCCAGTGATGGCAATCTGTCCACGTTTGATTCTATCTGGATATTTGGCAGTACACTCCTGCTGAATCATGTTGCCACCAGCCTTCAGTATTGACATGGAAACTGCCCCCTTACTTAGATCAAGACTACTTGAAGTGGTGTTCACGATAACATCAACCTATAATGAGAAATACAAGAATATTATTCAACCATGGACATTTGAATTCTCAAATGCTGTAAAAAATTAAGTTTTACCTGATAATCTTATATTGCATAATTCTAGCATTTCTTTTTCTTTTTGATTATTGATTAAATGACTTAAATTCCTAAACAAGTTAAACAAACTAATTTTAGGCTACATTTACACCAAATACTGCCATTCTGCAACTTATCGTTACTGTTGATGAATGAATTAAGTGAAGATTGTCTGTTCATATTTCTAATCTAGAAACAAACATCACCCTTGTTTTAACATCATTGAGTTATTATCTAGAATCACATATGCAGCATTTGTATGACTGTTGTTTTATTTCATTGTATTGCTTAAGCACATAATTATTGTCATAAAAAATCTGAAAGGAAAGAAATGCCATAATGACATGAAGTTCCAGTAGCCTTGTGCTAACCACCCCTCTGTAGCTAAGTCTGGCATCCTCTACACACAGACCAAGAGAACCAAGAACATCTGCTCCAGTAGCCTTGTGCTAACCACCCCTCTATAGCTAAGTCTGGCATCCTCTACACACAGACCAAGAGAACCAAGAACATCTGCTCCAGTAGCCATGTGCTAACCATCCCACTAAAGCTAAGTCTGGCATCCTCTACACACAGACCAAGAGAACCAAGAACATCTGCTCCAGTAACCTTGTGCTAACCACCCCACTAAAGCTAACTCTGGCATCCTCTATACACAGACCAATAGAACCAAGAACATCTGCTACAGTAGCCTTGTGCTAACCACCCCTCTATAGCTAAGTCTGGCATCCTCTACACACAGACCAAGAGAACCAAGAACATCTGCTCCAGTAACCTTGTGCTAACCACCCCTCTATAGCTAAGTCTGACATCCTCTATACACAGACCAAGAGAACCAAGAACATCTGTTCCAGTAGCCTCGTGCTAACCACCCCTCTATAGCTAAGTCTGGCATCATCTACACACAGACCAAGAGAACCAAGACCATCTGCTCCAGTAGCCTTGTGCTAACCACCCCACTAAAGCTAAGTCTGGCACCCTCTACACACAGACCAAGAGAACCAAGAACATCTCCTACAGTAACCATGTGCTAACCACCCCACTAAAGCTAAGTCTGGCTTCCTCTATACACAGACCAAGAGAACCAAGAACATCTGCTCCAGTAACCTTGTGCTAACCACCCCACTAAAGCTAACTCTGGCATCCTCTATACACAGACCAATAGAACCAAAAACATCTGCTACAGTAGCCTTGTGCTAACCACCCCTCTATAGCTAAGTCTGGCATCCTCTACACACAGACCAAGAGAACCAAGAACATCTGCTCCAGTAACCTTGTGCTAACCACCCCTCTATAGCTAAGTCTGGCATCCTCTACACACAGATCAAGAGAACCAAGAACATCTGCTCCAGTAACCATGTGCTAACCACCCCTCTATAGCTAAGTCTGGCATCCTCTACACACAGACCAAGAGAACCAAGAACATCTGCTCCAGTAACCTTGTGCTAACCACCCCACTAAAGCTAAGTCTGGCATCCTCTACACACAGACCAAGAGAACCAAGAACATCTCCTCCAGTAGCCATGTGCTAACCACCCCACTAAAGCTAAGTCTGGCATCCTCTACACACAGACCAAGAGAACCAAGAACATCTGCTCCAGTAGCCTTGTGTTAACCACCCCTCTATAGCTAAGTCTGGCATCCTCTACACACAGACCAAGAGAACCAAGAACATCTGCTCCAGTAGCCTTGTGCTAACCACCCCTCTATAGCTAAGTCTGGCATCCTCTATACACAGACCAAGAGAACCAAGAACATCTGCTCCAGTAGCCTTGTGCTAACCACCCCTCTATAGCTAAGTCTGGCATCCTCTATACACAGACCAAGAGAACCAAGAACATCTGCTCCAGTAACCTTGTGCTAACCACCCCACTAAAGCTAAGTCTGGCATCCTCTACACACAGACCAAGTGAACCATGAACATCTGCTCCAGTAGCCTTGTGCTAACCACCCCACTAAAGCTAAGTCTGGCATCCTCTACACACAGACCAAGAGAACCAAGAACATCTGTTCCAGGAGCCTTGTGCTAACCACCCCACTAAAGCTACGTCTAGAATCCTCTACACACAGACCAAGAGAACCAAGAACATCTGCTCCAGTAGCCTTGTGCTACCCACCCCTCTATAGCTAAGTCTGGCATCCTCTACACACAGACCAAGAGAACCAAGAACATCTGCTCCAGTAGCCATGTGCTAACCACCTCTCTATAGCTAAGTCTGGCATCCTCTACACACAGACCAAGAGAACCAAGAACATCTGCTCCAGTAACCTTGTGCTTACCACCCCTCTATAGCTAAGTCTGGCATCATCTACACACAGACCAAGAGAACCAAGAACATCTGCTCCAGTAACCTTGCGCTAACCACCCCTCTATAGCTAAGTCTGGCATCCTCTACACACAGACCAAGAGAACCAAGAACATCTCCTACAGTAACCATGTGCTAACCACCCCTCTATAGCTAAGTCTGGCATCCTCTACACACAGACCAAGAGAACCAAGAACTTCTGCTCCAGTAGCCTTGTGCTAACCACCCCTCTATAGCTAAGTCTGGCATCCTCTACACACAGACCAAGAGAACCAAGAACATCTGCTCCAGTACCCATGTGCTAACCACCCCACTAAAGCTAAGTCTGGCTTCCTCTACACACAGACCAAGAGAACCAAGAACATCTGCTCCAGTAGCCTTGTGCTAACCACCCCACTAAAGCTAAGTCTGGCATCATCTACACACAGACCAAGAGAACCAAGAACATCTGCTCCAGTAACCTTGCGCTAACCACCCCTCTATAGCTAAGTCTGGCATCCTCTACAACCAGACCAAGAGAACCAAGAACATCTCCTACAGTAACCATGTGCTAACCACCCCTCTATAGCTAAGTCTGGCATCCTCTACACACAGACCAAGAGAACCAAGAACATCTCCTACAGTAACCATGTGCTAACCACCCCTCTATAGCTAAGTCTGGCATCCTCTACACACAGACCAAGAGAACCAAGAACATCTCCTACAGTAACCATGTGCTAACCACCCCTCTACAGCTAAGTCTGGCATCCTCTACACACAGACCAAGAGAACCAAGAACATCTGTTCCAGGAGCCTTGTGCTAACCACCCCACTAAAGCTACGTCTAGAATCCTCTACACACAGACCAAGAGAACCAAGAACATCTGCTCCAGTAGCCTTGTGCTAACCACCCCTCTACAGCTAAGTCTGGCATCCTCTATACACAGACCAAGAGAACCAAGAACTTCTGCTCCAGTAGCCTTGTGCTAACCACCCCTCTATAGCTAAGTCTGGCATCTTCTACACACAGACCAAGAGAACCAAGAACATCTGCTCCAGTACCCATGTGCTAACCACCCCACTAAAGCTAAGTCTGGCTTCCTCTACACACAGACCAAGAGAACCAAGAACATCTGCTCCAGTAGCCTTGACCTTGAAGCATCACCCATCTCAACCAATACCTTACCAAGCAAGTCAAAAGGACCATCTCCACCACACCATGTGAGTTCATATTATCAATTAATAATATCTGCTATATCTTTCTTCGAGTTCCAATTTTTATTTTGCACTGCTACATCAATTTGCCTCTTGCCATGACCAGCTTGACAGAAAGATACTAGTGGCCACTAATGGAGTGGGTATATAAAGGCTAAAAATAAATCCTGATACAAATAACATCATCCTGGCAACTACACAATCGATTGTTGTGGCTTTAATTCAAGTAAGTTTCATGTTAAATAAATATTCTGCTCCAGTGTACTTCCACCATAAAGTAATATTTCATTAAATACTATCATATTTTTTTCACACATGAAATCATCACAATACTCATCCAGCAATGTTGAACATACCTGTTCCGCAGCTATCTCTCCGGGGACAACACTCATCCTTATCCTGGACATGCTGTGTGCTGCTCTTCCACGTGGAGGAGAAGGATCCGGTGGAAAAGATCCTTGAAAAGGAATCATAAAGACAAATCTGGAAACCAGTCATGGGACGTTAAGCCTCACTCATAATGACAAAAAGAATGGTGACTGAACGTTTTGTTTTTCCTGAAAAACTAACTAACTGTAAATTCGAAAATAAGAGGAAAGATAATACTCATGAAAAAATTATATATCCTGCTGCACTAATGAATATTTAAAATTGAAAAAAATAACACACTTAAGGTTATCTAGATGACATAAACTACAAAGTTCCAAAGAACAAACATCATTTCAGAAACAATGTGATAAGAAGACATACTTAACCTACCTTGTGCCCCTTGTCTGTGTCTTCGGCCCTTTGCTTGAACATGTCTGTCTTCATCCCGATCATCTTCTACAGATTCACCTCTGTTTCCTGCAGTTACACTATCTGCTCCAAACCTTTGTTTCACAGCTTGCATGAACTCCTGGACTGTGGATGCTTTGTTGTCGCACACATAGACGTCCCTCACCTGACTCCTCGGAGTGTCTTTGAAATGTTGCTGTATTGCTTCGATGATATTTTTGGTAGCTGCTGCAACAGGGTATTTATAAATACCTGTGCTCAAAGCAGGGATGGCAATGGACGAAAGTCTACGGCCATCAGCTTTCTCAAGGCTGTTAAATATAGCTTCTTGAAGAAGACCCTGCTCGTCGTTCCTCCCTCCAGACCATATAGGCCCTACAGCATGGACGACAATCTTGCAGGGCAGGTTGCCTGGCTTGGTGACCGCTACTTCTCCAACACCAATGTCACCCTGACTCCGTCTTATCTCGTCGCTTTCTACCTGAATAGAATGTCCTCCTGCAGACAAGAAGTGTTCTTTATCAGACATAGCATATGGATGAAATATAGACCCCAAACTACTGTAGCTCACCTGCATTTTCTGTCAGTTATTATTGTTGAAATATTCTTTAAAAGAACTGACTTCAATATGTTTTGCATTTGTGGAGATATAAATGTAAAAAATTGGTGTGGACACTTTGCATAAAGCCACTTCCAAGATTTACAAAGTATGCACACTGTTTCTTGTGTTTATACCTCAAATTTGAACAAACAAATCTAGCACTACCACTACCACTCTAGCAATATACCACTCTACTCATTCACATGCAAATGTGTGATACTAATACACACCTTTGTCTACAATAGCCTTTGCGAGTCCGCCGATGTGTGCCAGTTGCTGATTGGCTGCATTCACTATGACATCCACTTTCATTTGAGTAATGTCACCTTGACATACATACAGCGTTCGGCCTGCCCCAAGGTCACATGTTGCCAAGGTCTGGAGCCCTCCTCCTGAACTTCTCATGTTTCTCTGCTGTCTTTTGTTGCCATAAATTGGCTGCACTTGATCATCATAGTTTCGCTCTATCACGCACCTTTCATTTTGCTCAATATTTCTGATATGACTATCACCTTTGTCAGACAGGATCAGCTTACAAATCCCTGGTTTGCGAAATGTATTGCTAGTGTGCACCACAATCTTTGAAAGTTCCTCCAATTTTGACATGCAAATTCTTAACCCAACTTTGGTTCCTTTTACTGTAAAATCATGTGATGACTTTTGAAATTTTATCTCAACAGAGTGTGCCTCAAACGTTTTTGAAAGTCCTGTGATCTTCCCATCCATGTGCATTGTCATGAACCGCTGGATTCCCCGTGGGAACTGAACAGTGTCGCTATACACTGTCTTTTCTGTGATGAAGTTGTTCACCTCTTCTGCCACCTCAGCTACCAGTTCATCTATAGCAGCTATGACAATACGAGACTCATCCACTGCTGTGATGATCTTCACAGTGTCCCCTCTGTTCTGTGTCTGGGTATCATAGATCCTCTTCCAGTCTGGAGAGGCCAAGAGTGGGACAGATTCAGGGTCCAGGTCCACCACCTGCTGGACCACACTCTGTCTCACAATGTGCGATACCTCTGTCACTTCAGTGTCTGTCCTCCCATACACTTTCAGTTTACCATTGTCTGCCTCCCAGACACCAACCAGATGTTTCAGCTTCAGCTTCTTCACAATGTAATCCCTGACATCAGGCTTCTGAACAAGCATCATCTGGGCATCAGACAGATTTGATAACGCTGTCTCCTTGAAGTTTTGCATGGCTTCATACATGTCAACCTTTGCAGATTTTACAACAGACATCAAGCCGGTGATTATCATCACATTCTTGGTCACATTAATTTCCACCTTCAGGTGTTCATATTTCTTCATCATATCACCTGGGAACCCAAGAGCAAGCAGTAGGTGTAACTGCCATGACTTCAGACTTGACACTGTTTCAGTGATTTCCTTCTTCTTCCGCTCATGATCTCCCTCCACCGAGGCTACCACCTCCTTCACCTGTTTTGACAGTTTTTCTGCTAACATTTTATGGCCAACCACAACTATCAGATGAGACTCATCAAAGACAAACAAAGTTGCTGCATCTGGCTTTGGCATTTTCAAACCCTTTATCTCCGTCATGACACTATTCCAAATTTCTTGCAACACATTCACCTCCTCACTGATCAGGAGACCCAAGAAATGCTCCAAATCCTCAGTTGCATCTTTCTTCCAAGACTTAACCTTGCTTCTTGCATCAGGCACATTTTTTGTAAGGCAGCATTCAAGGGTCACAGAGCCATCTGACTCAAATTTCAGATCAGTGTGGCCATCTTGCAACTGCTTTCGTAGATTTTTCATATTTGGACTGGAATCTCTGATGAAGTGCATTTTGTTTCTGTCAATATCTTGAAAAGTTACAGGAGGTGGCAATGTGAACCATGTGGGGTCGCTGTGTCCCCCTCCAGAACCCAGGCATTCGGTGTACAGGGATACTGTGAGGGCCACACCTTCTAACTTGTGGGATCTGCCCAAAATATCTGGTATCACTGAAACATGATCAAAAACACATAACCAGCATACACAAGGTGAAGTGAAATGGGGTTTAACGTCACGTTCAAGATTATTGCACTTATATAGCAACATGCATGCACGTGTATGTGGTGGCTTGTACTAGTCCGGAATGATGCCGATTTTATAGCACTATATAATGTCAGTCTGCCAAAAATCGAGCCTGGACCAGACAATCCAGGGATCATGAGCATTGATCCACGCAATTGGGATACGATGACGTGCATTAACCAAGTCAGTGAGCCTGACCACCCGATCCTGTTCGTCATCTCTTACGACAAGCATGGGTTGCTGAAGACCTATTCTATCCCAGATTTTCATGGGTCTGTTGACAAATTAGGTGACAGCTGACCTGATCTTATGCATATAGCTAATAAAAGCTGTAAGTACTTCAAGTTTAATTAAATCACTTCCGGTTTGGGGAAACACATCCCCAGTGTATTACTGTGATACAAAAAGTCCCCTTAATGGGAAAGTATATGCACTTCCAGTTGAATTACATCACCTGCGGTCGGGGAAATATGCATATGCAGTGTGATTATTAAACAGAAAGTCCCATTCTTCTAGCCACATCAACAAGAAAGTTACATGCAGAAGCATACAGGGGTGGAAGTTTGCCAGTTGGTTGTGTGCTCGCCTGTGTGCACTTCATGAGCATCACATTGAACTCCTCGGCATCCCAATGAATGGTTATGGCATGGTCTACCATCCCTACCCACAGTGTTCACACTTGTTTCTTAAGTTTGTTTAGCAGTAACTGTCATACTTACCTTTATGATTTTCAAAGAAGACAATTGCTTGTCTTGGTTCCTCAACAATGTCCACCTTTTCCACAAGACTTTCTATGGTATTCCCTGACTTTTTACTTTCAAAGTAGTATTGTAGAGTGTCTGTGGATGTCCTCGCCGTGATGCCACAGACTTGGATACAGTTGGAGACTGACACTGCAGACAGCTCCAGGAACGCCCCTTCCAGGGGATGCTTCCGGCACACACGCTGCATCTTCTTCAGTTCTGAGAGAAGGCGAAAGACAAAAAGTCACATACACTTTTCCGAATAAGTATGACACATATTTTGGTCTATATTGGTACATTTTATTTTTATAAAATACTTATAGATAAAATATATCTATCTCTTTACACCATAAAAACAATTTGAAGCATGTTCAAATAGTTTACAAATTCACACTGAATATTCAATACCCCTCGCAACTTATAATAAAATGGCATTTTGTTCATATTCAAGACATGGAAATGGTTGTTTTGTATCTGTAGGTCTGAGTAGTTATCATTGGGTGATTTTTAGAGCCTGATTGTTGTTGTTCCTGAAGACAACATTACCTAATATGGTACATATATGGCTGTAAAGTTTATACATAACTTACTCAAAGGACCTTTTTGTGGATCTATATTAACAAGAACAGATCCAGGTTCCTCCCCGTACACAAGATCCTTGGGATGACAGGCCAGTTTATGCTTCAGGAACTTCATCAAAGTCTTTTTAGTGGTCTTCTCTCGGAGTCCGGTGATGAAGAATCTGTCATGATACTGCGGCCGTGGGGGAGGAGGGGTGGGGGGTCTGTACAGACTCACCAGCAGCTTGTGCCCATCCACAGTGTGGTGTCGCTTGGCAACAACAGCTTTTGCTTCTGTCAAACAAAACCAGGGTCGGAACTGAATATATAGATATTGGAGATAAACTGTGTGTTGTTTTTAGGAAAACATTGTTTATTGTTATTACGGATGCGCTTTATTTACCCAGTGCTAATAAGTGGTGCTATTTGCTGTTTGATTGGATTAAGGCAAGGATATGTATCATTCCACTGGGGATGGGGATGGGGGGGGGGGGGGGGGAGGAGGGGAGAGTTGCATTGATTTGAGTCACATTTTTGGCTAAATATAGGCTTGACTCGGAAAGTAAATTAGCTCATAATTGTGTTTCGGAAATTAGCTCCAGTGTACGCATGCTGAAAAACTTCATGGGGTATTTCCACGTGCTGTTTTCAAACAATTGAGTTTTTCATTTAATGCATGCGTTTCTGTATGCAGGTTAATTGAAGGTAATTGGGTTTTGAATAGTTTGGGGAGATATTTTATGCAAATACGCTGCTTATTTGTAGCTCTGAGACAACATACCAATATGTTTGTTTGTGCATCGAACCAAGCTAATATCTCTTGAATATGAGTAATTCTTCATATATTAACCAACAAATATACTATTCGTTATTCTTTTGTCAACAAGTATATATATACTGATAAACCCACTGAATGTTGTACAATACTGCTGGGCCTCAAATAAACCCACAGGTACTGAAGCTCACCTTTACTGTATGAATAAGTACATGCTATATCTTTGTATTGAAATACTAACCATTTGATGTCAAGCTTGCAACAACAGATGTCTAATCTGATATTTTGACATTTGTAAAATGAAAGATACTGAATAACAACTAAATACACAAAGACAGTGAGTCGATAGATTACCAAAAGTATGGTCAAATATGGTCATATTGAGAAACTAGTCTTGTTGCATTTTGGTTCCAATTTCAAAGTTTCTGGGTGACATCAGATACAACTCTTTTGATCGCCCATATTGTTCACATACATCTTTGTTCTAAATTAAGGACAGTCGAGTCTCGTTAATTTGAGTCTCGTTAATCCGTCAATCGGCTTTATGAGGCACTAATCATGGGAATCGATCAAATCAATGCTTTTTAGACCTGTTAATCTGACAATCTCGCACTTCCGAAAAGCCTAATTTGCAAGGAAGTAGCAAAATCACTCATTAATCAATTTTGTTAATCCGACACAGTGATCAACATACTCCGTGGTGACTTCCATCCCAGACTTTGCTTTTAAAAGCATTTTGAATCAAGTCCTACAGTCCGTAACAGTAGTTTTGTTTTAAGCTTTAGAGGTTTCATGATTAGGAAACATATTCCCCTAACAACATGAACAATGTAACATAACAATATGAATATTTCATTTTTCTTGTTCGTTATCTATTGTGTAGTTGTCCGATTTTCAATCACAAATGTTGATACTGCTAAATTTTGTTTATCCGACACACTCACTTATCCAACATAATTATATGCAACCAACCATGTTGGATTAGCAGGACTTGACTGTACCTATTATACCTACAGTTGATTAGGGCTGGGAGGAGTCCAAACTTACCACCCGGGTACCCTGGCTCCTATTACCCGACCCTACCCAGGTACCCTGCCTCCTATTACCCGACCCTACCCAGGTACCCTGCCTCCTATTACCTGACCCTACCCAGGTACCTTGCCTCCTATTACCTGACCCTACCAAGGTACCTTGCCTCCTATTACCCGACCCTACCCAGGTACCCTGCCCCCTATTACCCGACCCTACCAGGTACCCTGCCCCCTATTACCCGACCCTACCCAGGTACCCTGCCTCCTATTACCCGACCCTACCCAGGTACCCTGCCTCGTATTACCCGACCCTACCCAGGTACCCTGCCTCCTATTACCCGACCCTACCCAGGTACCCTGCCTCCTATTACCTGACCCTACCCAGGTACCTTGCCTCCTATTACCCGACCCTACCCGGGTAACCATTGTAGGTCTCAAGAGATGTCTCAAAATGTCCAATTGGGATTTTTTTTACCATAGCCCTGGCAAAACGTATTTAGATACATGTATTAAACAATCTGATCATGCATACACTGAAGTTGACTTAAGTTAGTCTATATCTATATTCAACCCTATGAAAAGTCAGAAGGAATGGGTGCATAGTCAGAAAGAAATGCGAACATTAGTGACTTGAAGTGTAACCATAGAGTTCAAGATAATTTTTGTCATTAAACATTAAACATTATATTACATGACTAACCACGGGTCCGGGTAGTCCTGTGGGTACCCGGGTCCTACTCAGTACCCACCCGACCCGGATACCGGAGTTACCCGTTCCAGCCCTACAGTTGATGCCATGTTGACTTTTTATGGCAGATTGGGCTATTAAACTTGTAACAGTAGTTTGGATGATACATTGTAGTGTGCAAGTAGAAGTACCCATAATGAACAATCAGTAGCTTTATACTTAGAAGAAAACTCTTAAGAATTTCCAAATTGTTCCATGTAAACACAAAATAATAAATTAAAAAATTGAAAAATATGAAAAAGGTAAAAGGCAAAAGGTGAGCAAGTGGTCATTGCTCCTGTAAAGTTTAATGCCAAAAAAGTTTAAAGTTTAATGACCTGTACCCTATGTGTTGATGAAGTTCACAACATGGCTACATGGATATTCTATACCAACGCTAATTGCGTGAAATAAGTCGTACCTTCAGGAGTTTCAAAAACAATATATTTTGCATTTTCTTGTACATCTGGAATGATCTCCCTCACTTCAGACCCCCCACTCCTCTTCTTGTTCTCGAAGTACATGGTCAGTACTTCATCATTTGTCTTCAATCCATATTTCTCAACTTTCAAAACTGTTCCTTCTTTCTTTCCTTTCAAGACAGTATCCATGGTAACCAAACCTGGCTGTTTGGAAGGGAGATATTCAGAGACTTCAATCTTTTTTCGATCTAGTAGGTGAGGAGCTTTCTGTAGAACCCTCTCTACGGCTGAAAACAATGTGCATACACATTACTACTACCTAGGACCAGTTCAGTCAGTGCGGGAACCCTTGCCAATTATTTCACGGGGATGTTGGAAAATACAGATAGCTCTCACTGAGTGAGTGAGTGAGTGAGTTGGGTTTATCGCCAGTTTTAACAGTATGCCAGTTATATCACGGCGTGTCATCCAGTTATATCACAGCTTGCCAGCTTAAAGTGGGAGGAAAGCCCGATGTGATGCTGGTCTTAGATGTTTATCACTTCGATGAAACCCATGAGCATGGGTATGGTGCTGACAAACCTAGAAACGTATTCGGGGCGGACCGGGAATCGTCCCTCAATCGTAGGTTTATGGCACTTCCAAGGGACGCAACTCTGCACAGCGAAACGCGGCGCCTTAGACGACTGGGCCAGCCGTGTCCCCCTCACACACAGATCTAGATGAGATGTTTTTCATCGAAATCATTTCTATTTGGGATAGAGTAATATACAAGTGTTGCAGTGTTCTACCAGTATCATATGGCAGCCATATTGGATTTGGTGGCCATATTGGATTGTTTTAGGTGGCTCCATATCTGAACATTTCATGCTTTTATCACAAAGTGCAGAATTTACCCCATATCTGCCATGAAACAGCTGCACTATTAAGTTTGTACAAACAAATGTCAAGTCCTAACTTTTCTAGTGTTTTCATTCAGATTTTAATGTAAAAATTCCAATTGCATTGAAGATTTGCCTTTGTTTATTTTTCTGCTGGGGTGGTTCACTATTTCACTTCAAGTGAAACAATGCAGGTTTTGATTGCACATTCAATACTAAGGACTAAGTACAAAGGTGTTTCTTTCACTCCAGAAATCATGCTACACATTTAGGACCAACTAATTTAGCCTAAATGAACAGAAAAAGATAGGTGAATACCCAATAATAATATCTACCTGGTCAAGTAAATAGATGCTAATCATGTTCATGTACTGGTCATATTTCAATCATTCAATTCTCTTGTTTACCACATATAGAAGCTTCACAACTGAAGTTACACAGACAGAAGTGGATATATTTGAGAACCGATTCCTGCAAAACTTCCATGATGACTTTCTCTGTGATGATTGATGTTTTGAAGTATGGTGGCCTTGACCTTCCACAAAGGTCACCAAAAGTCTGTTCAACTGTAAACTTTTGTCCATGCGGTCAAAGGTGAATATCCAATCAAAGGTTATTGGGATCACAAGTTGCTTGATCCTTATCTAATGACCTTCTTTTGACTATATTATTTGTCGTAGCTACTATTGGATATATTCTAGTTAATTACACATATTTCACTTCTTGCATCTTTAGATTTTTACCTTTGCTTTTGAATCAACTCATGACATGTCAAAACAATCATGTCAATAAAGGTACAAAATTATGACATGAAAACTGACACCTGTCGTATTGAAAAAAGATATTTGTCCCTTTACCTGATTGATTTATAATTTTGATAGATTCATTGTTTAATCAAACCATTATAACCTACTTTCAATCGCAAATGCTTAACATGAATCAAATATTTCTGGAGCTAGTAACGGTTAAAGTTCTTCAGCTGTTTCACTTACCATCACCTTCCGCAAAGTAGATAAGAGCTGTTGCTGAGTCTCTGTCAATCTCCACAATATCCACCTCTCCTCCTCCGCTTCGTCGCCTGTTTTCAAAATAGAGTGTCAAAGTGTCTTCACTCACAGTATTTGCCAACCCTTCCAAAAGGAGAACAAAGACACTGTCATCTTCTACATCATCATCCGGCTCATCATCTTCTTCTAAAACAGAAAGAGATATCGTCAAACAGATTCAAACATGTCAAATTCCAAAGCTAAATAAAAACTTTACTTTTGTTGTTGACAGGAAACATGCTTGAAAAAAATTGTTTCTCATATTAAATGTCACAGAAAATAGGGTTATGATGGACTGTGTGACTCATCAACTGACAACATTAATTCATACTCATGAAAAACCATATCCCATTCCAATTTTCACATAAACCCAATTACGTGGATCGATGCTCATGATATTAATCACTGGGCTGTCTGGTCCAGACTCGATTATTTACAGACAGCCATCATATAGCTGGAATATTGCTGAGTGCAGCGTTAAACAACAAACCAAACCCAAAAAAACATAAGGCCCACTGTTTTGTATTACAATTATCTGACACTATTTACATTAGAATGTCGTCAGTTCTCATACATAAATCTTCACCACATAAGTACTTCAGCGTGAGGCTGAACATATCTACAGGAAATGGCTTCACGGTCTATGTCGAGATCATACTTTAACTTCATCGCAAGTTTGACCTTACAAGTAGGTCACTCACTACATTCACAAGATGGCCACTCTCCTACCCAGAGTTCCATGCGGCCGGCAGCCAGCTAGCATAGTACCTCTGCCACAGGCCAGCGCCATGTGACGATTCGTCACATCTTTCACAGTCCATTCAAGATAATGCATATGCTTTTCATTCGTTTCATGTTTGACAAGTCTACACATTTTCATAAACAAATGTCAAAGAATGGTTAACTTTCATTGAGAAAGTATGCAAATACGTAAAAATCTACTTGTTTTTGCGTAGTTATCCTATGTTTACATTAGTTGTACGGCTCCACGTGCTGTCATCGAAACCGAACGGAGAACTAGCGACACGGTCACTTTGATGCATAAATATATATTGTCATGCAACTCACTGTCGCAGTTGTAGTAGCATATCTATATAGTTATGCAAAACAATATGTAAAGCGCCCCCCAAATACTTGCATTAGTCCGTTCTATACTGATTTCTGAAAAAGCGCGTTTGTTTACAAACAAGAGAAAAGTCCGGTCATGTGATATGCAAATTATCCTGTGGCAGTGGTGTTATGCTGAGTCACCACTGCGACGGAGTGTGCAAGATGGCCTCACCAAAATTGACAAAGCATTAAAGCATTGCCACCCACATGGGGCTGCTTATTAATCTGAGTGAGTGAGTGAGTGAGTTTGGTTTTACGCCGCTTTTAGCAATATTCCAGCAATATCACGGCGGGGGACACCAGAAATGGGCTTCACACATTGTACCCATGTCGGGAATCGAACCCGGGTCTTCGGCGTGACGAGCGAACTCTTTAACCACTAGGCTACCCGACCGCCCCTTATTAATCTGAAGATGTATACATGGTACAAACACTCTGATTTGTAACAAATATATGTACCATAATAACTAAAATCTATTGGCATCAAGATAAATGAACACTTGCTCCAAAGTATAATCCTGACTTCAATATTAATCTATGAATCCTTTGAATATGAATTGATACACACTAATTGAAATATTGGCCAATTGCAAACCTGCAATATCAATCCTGACTTCAATATCAATCAATGAATCCCTTGTATATGGTATTATATATATATACCAGTTGAAAGTTGACCAACTACAAACCTGCAGGATCAATCCTGACTTCAATATCAATCAATGAGTCCCTTGTATACGGCATTATATATACCAGTTGAAAGTTGACCAACTACAAACCTGCAGGATCAATCCTGACTTCAATATCAATCAATGAATCCCTTGTATACGGCATTATATGTACCAGTTGAAAGTTGACCAACTACAAACCTGCAGGATCAATCCTGACTTCAATATCAATCAATGAATCCCTTGTATACGGCATTATATGTACCAGTTGAAAGTTGACCAACTACAAACCTGCAGGATCAATCCTGACTTCAATATCAATCAATGAATCCCTTGTATATGGTATTATATATACCAGTTGAAAGTTGACCAACTACAAACCTGCAGGATCAATCCTGACTTCAATATCAATCAATGAATCCCTTGTATATGGTATTATATATACCAGTTGAAAGTTGACCAACTACAAACCTGCAGGATCAATCCTGACTTCAATATCAATCAATGAATCCCTTGTATATGGTATTATATATATATACCAGTTGAAAGTTGACCAACTACAAACCTGCAGGATCAATCCTGACTTCAATATCAATCAATGAGTCCCTTGTATACGGCATTATATATACCAGTTGAAAGTTGACCAACTACAAACCTGCAGGATCAATCCTGACTTCAATATCAATCAATGAATCCCTTGTATACGGCATTATATGTACCAGTTGAAAGTTGACCAACTACAAACCTGCAGGATCAATCCTGACTTCAATATCAATCAATGAATCCCTTGTATACGGCATTATATGTACCAGTTGAAAGTTGACCAACTACAAACCTGCAGGATCAATCCTGACTTCAATATCAATCAATGAATCCCTTGTATATGGTATTATATATACCAGTTGAAAGTTGACCAACTACAAACCTGCAGGATCAATCCTGACTTCAATATCAATCAATGAATCCCTTGTATATGGTATTATATATACCAGTTGAAAGTTGACCAACTACAAACCTGCAGGATCAATCCTGACTTCAATATCAATCAATGAATCCCTTGTATATGGTATTATATATACCAGTTGAAAGTTGACCAACTACAAACCTGCAGGATCAATCCTGACTTCAATATCAATCAATGAATCCCTTGTATATGGTATTATATATACCAGTTGAAAGTTGACCAACTACAAACCTGCAGGATCAATCCTGACTTCAATATCAATCAATGAATCCCTTGTATATGGTATTATATATACCAGTTGAAAGTTGACCAACTACAAACCTGCAGGATCAATCCTGACTTCAATATCAATCAATGAATCCCTTGTATATGGTATTATATATACCAGTTGAAAGTTAACCAACTACAAACCTGCAGGATCAATCCTGACTTCAATATCAATCAATGAATCCCTTGTATATGGTATTATATATACCAGTTGAAAGTTGACCAACTACAAACCTGCAATATCAATCCTGACTTCAATATCAATCAATGAATCCCTTGTATATGGTATTATATATACCAGTTGAAAGTTGACCAACTACAAACCTGCAGGATCAATCCTGACTTCAATATCAATCAATGAATCCCTTGCATATGGTAATATATATTTATGATCCAAAACTGGCTCCCACAGGAGATATCGCTTGGATGAGATCAAGCGATATCTACACTGTAGATATCTCTGCAATGAAATTACATCACAATGCTTTGCAGACCATTGTGACGTCACTGGTTACCATGACGTCACAATCAAATGACATCACTAATGGCTCTGCTACTGAAGCTGTTTGCAGTACTTTTTACACTGAAGACACTGCTAATTACTGTCTTCAAATTGAAAAAGTTGAAAAAATGATGTGTATGATAAATAAAATCTCACCCTTGTGTCTTTTGATATCAAATATATCAACACTCGTTGATAAAAGTGGCAAAAATCCTCGGCAAGCCTCGGAATTTTTCCACTTTTATCAATTTGTGTTGATATATTTGATATCAAAAGACACTTGGGTGAGATTCTCTATATAAATATATACCAGCTGAAAGTTGACCAATTACAAACCTGCAGTAAGGTACAGTTCTTCAGTTGCTGCCCGTTTCCGGTGGCGAGCTGATCGCGAGGGAAGAGTGTACTGGGAAACCTGGAGAGAGACTTCTTGTATCTGGTGACTCCTCTGAAGCACAGCTTCCACATCTGAAAAAAACATACAAAAGACACCATATTACCTTTGTCAGTGCTTACTAACTGTTGACACATATCAACAAATAGTAAAATAACCACAGTACCACGGGTACAGAAGCTCACCTTTATCCAACCACATAAAACCTAATGAGTGAGGATGTGTCAAAAGATGTGTATAAGAGATCCTTAAATCTTTTGTTCTTATAATAGTTTGTGATGCCTTGTGTTGAATGACCACATTTATTGTTGCATAAGCTGATACAAGAAAAATTACGATGAAGTCGTATTCCACAATTATATTTCCCCAAAACCTGAGATTTTATATAAATGTATGTAATGAGACACAAAGAACTATTTCATTTCTTACTAAAAAAAGTTAGATAATGACATTAATGAGACAAACCTGATAGAAAGTTGGAACCTCATTAACCTTTCACACAATCAGATTCACCCAAGATGTAGATGATGAAAGTGAAATAAAAAATGAGAAATGAAGTATTCTAACAGCCAAACAATGAAAAACAGTTACACCAGCCTGTACAGTCTTTGGAATAGAATGAGTAGTGAGTGAGTGAGTGAATATGGTTTTACGCCGCTTTTAGCAATATTCCAGCAATATCACGGCGGGGGACACCAGAAATGGGCTTCACACATTGTACCCATGTCGAGAATCAAACCCGGGTCTTCAGCGTGACGAGCGAAGGCTTTAACCACTAGGCTACCCGACTGCCCCGAATAGAATGAGTAAGCTAGTGACATCACATGATCAAGTTGCACAGGAATAAGGCAGTGCAAAGCCCTTTGTTAGTGGTGGTAGCCATGATTATGTCCCGTATGTGTTGGGGTGAGGTGTTTTTGAAGCTGGAAACATGTTTTAGGGTTGCAAGAAAGGAGGATGAAATGCAGAGTGTGATGTAGAACAAGTATGTATGAATATACAATTTATTGTAAAATTTACAAATTGTGAAAACTTATCCTATTTCCCACTGTGCATATATCCCATGGTTAGATGGTGGGGCGCAGATACCCAAGCCTATCAAAGACCTCAACTATGAGATGTACACAAGGCTGTCAGTCCTAAACCATGATCCGATCCAGTGATCATGACAATGTACAGGTTCATCAAAAATGAAAAAACTTGTGTATGGGTTGCTTCTGAAAAAACCCTTTGCACTACTCGGATGCACTGAGGTCGGGTACTCATGTGCTCTGTGTTTTGCACAGGACGCCATTCTTTACTGAATAAACAGCTGTGTAGCATGGAACTACGGCATAGCTTGTTACCACCCCGTAGACGAGAAAGAGCAAGTCACCAGACCAGACTTAAATTTCTTCAAGACTCCCCCCAGTCTTATATCCCTCAGACATGAGGTGTAGCTTGGCATCTCTTTTCACACTTCACTAAAGCTATCAATCATGCTCGCAGCTATTGAGTGATTGTGATTGAGTTTGGTTTAACACCACTTTTAACAGTGTTCCAGTTATATCGCGGTGTGTCAGCTTAATGTGGGAGGAAAGCCCGAAGTGATGCAGGTCTCAGACGTTTACCACTTCGGTGAAACCCACGAGCATGGGTATGGTGCTGACAAACCTAGAAACATAATCTGGACGAACCGGGATTCAAATCCACAATCATAGGTTTCTGGCGTGCCCAAGGGACGCAACTCTGCACAGCGAATCGTGGCATCTTAGATGACTGGGCCACCCGTGCCCACAGCTATTGAGTACTCCAGAACAAGAAGGGGAAAAGGATCAACAACTCACCCTGAGATGAGTGGGAGCGGATCATCCCTGGCCTGGACTGTGTGCCCGGACACTTACCGGTACATTCCTGAGACATAAGGTGTATCATCAGCCTTAGCATCTTTTTTTTTGCTTCGTTAAAGCTATCAACCACAACCGCAGTGATTGACTATGCTAGAACGGGAAGAGGAACAATCAGAACATGATCAGAATGATTAATCTTCAAACCAACTACTCTGTCCTAGCAATATCCATAGTCAGAGGTTAGCAAGCTGAGGGTTCAAGACACTGAGTTGCTAGCAGCCAAATAAGTAGTGAACATAGAACCTTTCAGCTTTCTTTATGACCTCAAGTGCTGAAGGTATTCCACTATCTGTTGAGTCGTGGGGAATGAATGTCCTCAGACTTCCAATAACCTTCTAAGGCCTTTGACTTGTGATCATAAAGAGACTTAGTGCAAGCCACACTTCAAGAATATCCTTTCTCAATCAGGAGAACATAGGGGATTTCGTTGATCCCATGTTGTTGATGTACCACACCACTGCTGTGTTGTCCGATTGAACCATCATTCGGGATGCACGTAGGACCTCTGCCCAATGTATTATTGCAAACACCACCATCCAGGTTGGTGAAGTGAAGATTTTGTTCGTCTGCAGAGTAAGGCCCTGTAAGCCTTAGATCTAATAGATGTGGGGCGGTCAGGTAGCCTAGTGGTTAAAGCGTTCGCTCGTCCTGCCGAAGACCTGGGTTCGATTCCCGACATGTGTACAATGTGTGAAGCCCATTTCTGGTGTCCCCCGCCATGATATTGCTGAAATATTGCTAAAAGTGGCGTAAAACCATACTCACTCACTCTAATAGATGTGATCCCCAAACGGATCATTGAAGCGTTGACAAATAGGTGATACGTTGGTGTGAACAGCGTCAAGAAAACTCCTTCGCTGATGTTCGATTCCTGAAGCCACCATCGAAGGTAATGGTGTAATGACATTGGGAATGAATCTTGATCTTGCAGTTGTTTCTCTGTAGAAACGAGCACAAAAAACACTGTAATGGTTGAAGATGTCGTTGACCTCTCAGTAATAGCTTGCACTGAAGTTAGGACACCCCAGGATTCCTTGCTACTGTCGAAGGGTAAAGGACTGTTTGCGTGCCAAAGGTACTAGTTTTTGTATCTTCATCCACCTGTCTAGACGAAGATGACCATGGTTGTTTGTATAGCTGTACCTTGAGCTGGTCCTCCAAGGGACAGGATTGCAACAGGTGGTGATGTTGCCAAAAGAAATGCAAGAGCAAGTCCAATACCACATGAATGAGGACTATTGCTCCCTTGATATGAGCCTCTTCAGACGCCTTAGCGAGCATGGGCTACTGTCATCGGGATGGCTTCTGTTGCTGATAAGATAGTATATGAGATAGTTCCCAACCATCTATGATGGAGGTGTGAGATGACTGTTTAGGGTTGATTGTCTGTATAATCCTGCTTAGGTCATAGGAAGTGGCAATGGAGTCCATTCCATGATGCTGACTCTAGGTGCCTGCAGTTTTAGCCTTAATTCTCCTAAAGCAAAAGAAAGCCATTACAAGTGCCACAACATGTTATTCATTTTCAAAAATAAAACCTAACTTAATGATAAAGGATGTTCTTATGAACACAACAAATATGTGAAAACAGTACGTCTAATAGTTGCTGTGGAGAAATGAGTTGCTGTGGTAGACATTTGCAAACCTGACACAGGTAATGTGGAATTCTACTAAGGTTGGAAGAGAACTTAAAGGCATCATCCATCATCTAAGAAACTGCAGATAGTGCTGTATGCTGTCGCATAACCACCTCTCTCTGTCTGAAGTGTGTATCTCCATCATCCATGGTACCATATGTCCATGGTACACAAATCACACCTTCCACTGGGGCTGTAAGACAGTATTAATTGTAATCTTTTACAATCGAGGGCCTAAGCTTCATATGAGAGACAATAGATGATCCCCAGTTCAGTTAATTCAGAGGAGAAGAGATTCTTATTTTCAGTGCTAACATTGGGCCAGACTGATGAACAACAGAATAATACGGGAATGTAAGCTCGCTTAGATGAACTAACACGCATTTCATAAATTAAAGTTGATGATGTCAAGGTGAGCTGAAATAGATCGATCATACCAACCTTCAGGGTCCTCAAATGTGACAAGGACCACATCCTCATCTATTCTCTCAATGGATTTCACGTTTCCTCCTCCACTCTTCTTCGTGCTCTCAAAGTACATCTCCAGGAATTCATCAGACATATCTTTGCATCCTGTCACTACTATTGTGTCTGGTGAGACAACAGGTGGTGGCGTTGGTGGCCTGGGTTTGTACCGGGAGACGTCAACATCCTTTCTTTGTATTTTGTGAGATCCCTTCTCTAACACTCTCTCGACATCTTGAAACAAAGCAGACACACATATATTTATAAAGTACCCTTGTGATTCTTTAATAAGATTTTGGCATGCTGTGGCGGGCTGAATGTCCAGTGAATAAATGGAGACTGAGTTAACCATCGACTCTGCTTTATGCAGAGAATTCTATTGGATACGGTTGGTTGGTTGGTTGGTTGGTTTGTTGTTTAACGCCGCACTCAGCAATATTCCAGCTATATGACGGCGGTCTGTAAATAATCAAGTCTGGACCAGACAATCCAGTGATTGATATCATGAGCATCGATCCACGCAATTGGGATCGATGACATGCATCAACCAAGTCAGCGAGCCTGACCACCCGATCCCGTTAGTCACCTTTTACGACAAGCATAGTCACCTTTTACGGCAAGCATGGGTTGCTGAAGACCTATTCTACCCCGGAATCTTTACGGGTCTATTGGATATGGAAAGGGTTTTGTGACTATATTTACATAGCCTCACTAAGACTCCAGACTGTCGACCAAAGACAGTTTCTGCTTCCAAACTTGGCCTGGCTCATCTCAATGAAACATCACGACTGGTGTTGATTTGCGAGTTCTATTTATTTGAGGAAATTGTTGGTGTTTCATGAAAAGGGTACCATTTGTTTTGATCTTATTCAGAAGTAAAAACATCTGTTAATAAGCCATTAACGTTGATTAAACTTACCTTCAGGGTCTTCAAATGTGAACTAACACCCATTTCCTAAATTCAAGCATCTTCCCAAGGCAAGAGAGTTCACTGACTATAAAAGTCCAGTTTCAACCCTTGCCGAAATGGTCTGGTATCATGGAGTTAAATTTTGGCTGGACTAATGAGTCTATGCATAGTCCATTCAAAATCGCCAACCGAAACCAAATCCGGTTCGTAAACTGTCGTGCAGATTTCAGTCGATTGCAGGATTTGCAACGCATGCGCATCGCCAACTTGTTGCCAGAAGATATTTTCCAAATCTTTTCCTGTTTTTAATCAAGGTGCTTACGTGATTTGATGCATTTCACGATGTTAGACCCGTATTATCACAATATAGATCTTGATTATAGATCAGATCATCCTGACTCGGCGCCACCATTTTGTGTGAAGCAAATGCAAGTGATACGAGAGGTGGAATCTGATTGGTCCATAGGAGAGGCTTAGAAATGGTTATAGCCACTGGTGGCGCTACGCTCGAGACCAGTAATTCCAGCCTAGTTCGACAAGGGTGAAAACTGGACTTTTATAGTCCGTTAACTCTCTTGCCTCGGGAAGATGAAATTCAAGTTGATGATGTCAAGGTCAGCTGAAATTGATCGACCATACTAACCTTCAGGGTCCTCAAATGTGACAAGGACCACACCCTCCTCTATTCTCTCCATGGATTTCACTTCTCCTCCTCCACTCTTCTTCCTGCTCTCAAAGTACATCTCCAGGAATTCATCAGAGAATCCTCCACAGCCTGTCACTATAATCGTGTCTGGTGAGACAAGAGGAACTTCTTCTTCTTCAGGGGGTGGCGTTGGTGGCTTGGGTTTGTACAGGGTGACTTTAACATCCATCCCTTCAATCTTGTGAGATCCTTTCTCTAACACTCTCTTGGCATCTTGAAATAAAGTACACCTCTGTATTACATGGACAACCATCTTACTTTCAATATGGGGGTTGGTTCAGTACTCAAAGAAGCAGAGCTACCTTACGAAAGGCCATTCCATGGAACTTGACCTTCCATGAAGATCATGATTGACCTTACCAATGCTCTACCCTATGTTCAAAATTCAATCCTACAACAGTGTGCACTCCTTGAGTTGTATTTACAAGGAAGAAAAAACAAAACCTTAGGCTTAAAGAAAAGAAAGAACTGATTCTCAGGCAATGACGCTTGAAAATAAAGTGTGGCCAGGCAGTTGGGAGGACTTGTTCAAACTAGCATGTAACCAAATAAACAGTTATGTACCGTCAACCCAGGAAAGGACCTACCTACGTACACAAGCATACAAACCCCTATTGCCGCCAAAGTAGCCGAGTGCCTGAGAACCAAGACTATTATTTTATTAGCATTATTATATTATCCCAATTCACACTGCATGCATCGGGATGCTAAATCATCACATCAGTGTGATCAGGTATGTGTGAAAAGACTTCAGAAAATATCACCAAAGTAAGGTAGAATGAATTTGCAGTGAATAAATGGACACTCCAGACTGTCAACCATGTCTGTGGAGGCAGGCTGTACTAATATAGCCTCACTCCACACTCCAGACTGTCAACCACATGTGTGGAGGCAGGCTTTACTAATATAGCCCCACTCCACACTCCAGACTGTCAAACACATGTGTGGAGGCTTCTTTACTAATATAGCCTCACTCCACACTCCAGACTGTCAACCACATGTGTGGAGGCAGGCTTTACTAATATAGCCCCACTCCACACTCCAGACTGTCAAACACATGTGTGGAGTCTTCTTTACTAATATAGCCTCACTCCACACTCCAGACTGTCAACCAAGTGTGTGGAGGCAGGCTTAACTAATATAGCCTCACTCCACACTCCAGACTGTCAAGCAAGTGTTTGGAGGCAGGCTTTACTAATATAGCCCCACTCCACACTCCAGACTGTCAAACACATGTGTGGAGGCTTCTTTACTAATATAGCCTCACTCCACACTCCAGACTGTCAACCAAGTGTGTGGAGGCAGGCTTAACTAATATAGCCTCACTCCACACTCCAGACTGTCAAGCAAGTGTGTGGAGGCAGGCTTTACTAATATAGCCTCACTCCACACTCCAGACTGTCAACCAAGAGTGTGGAGGCAGGCTTTACTAATATAGCCTCACTCCACACTCCAGACTGTCAACCACATGTATGGAGGTAGGCTTTACTAATATAGCCCCACTCCACACTCCAGACTGTCAACCAAGTGTGTGGAGGCAGGCTTTACTAATATAGCCCCACTCCACACTCCAGACTGTCAACCACTTGTGTGGAGGCAGGCTTTACTAATATAGCCCCACTCCACACTCCAGACTGTCAACCATGTGTGTGGAGGCAGGCTTTACTAACATAGCCTCACTCCACACACCAGACTGTCAAGCAAGTGTGTGGAGGCAGGCTTTACTAATATAGCCTCACTCCATACTCCAGACTGTCAACCAAGAGTGTGGAGGCAGGCTTTACTAATATAGCCCCACTCCACACTCCAGACTGTCAACCACATGTATGGAGGTAGGCTTTACTAATATAGCCCCACTCCACACTCCAGACTGTCAACCAAGTGTGTGGAGGCAGGCTTTACTAATATAGCCTCACTCCACACTCCAGACTGTCAACCAAGAGTGTGGAGGCAGGCTTTACTAATATAGCCTCACTCCACACTCCAGACTGTCAACCACATGTATGGAGGTAGGCTTTACTAATATAGCCCCACTCCACACACCAGACTGTCAACCAAGTGTGTGGAGGCAGGCTTTACTAATATAGCCTCACTCCACTCTCCAGACTGTCAACCACGTGTGTGGAGGCAGGCTTTACTAATATAGCCTCACTCCACACACCAGACTGTCAACCACTTGTGTGGAGGCAGGCTTTACTAATATAGCCCCACTCCACACTCCAGACTGTCAAACACATGTGTGGAGTCTTCTTTACTAATATAGCCTCACTCCACACTCCAGACTGTCAACCACGTGTGTGGAGGCAGGCTTAACTAATATAGCCTCACTCCACACTCCAGACTGTCAAGCAAGTGTGTGGAGGCAGGCTTTACTAATATAGCCTCACTCCACACTCCAGACTGTCAACCAAGAGTGTGGAGGCAGGCTTTACTAATATAGCCTCACTCCACACTCCAGACTGTCAACCACATGTATGGAGGTAGGCTTTACTAATATAGCCCCACTCCACACTCCAGACTGTCAACCAAGTGTGTGGAGGCAGGCTTTACTAATATAGCCTCACTCCACACTCCAGACTGTCAACCACGTGTGTGGAGGCAGGCTTTACTAATATAGCCCCACTCCACACTCCAGACTGTCAACCACGTGTGTGGAGGCAGGCTTTACTAATATAGCCCCACTCCACACTCCAGACTGTCAAACACATGTGTGGAGTCTTCTTTACTAATATAGCCTCACTCCACACTCCAGACTGTCAACCAAGTGTGTGGAGGCAGGCTTAACTAATATAGCCTCACTCCACACTCCAGACTGTCAAGCAAGTGTTTGGAGGCAGGCTTTACTAATATAGCCCCACTCCACACTCCAGACTGTCAAACACATGTGTGGAGGCTTCTTTACTAATATAGCCTCACTCCACACTCCAGACTGTCAACCAAGTGTGTGGAGGCAGGCTTAACTAATATAGCCTCACTCCACACTCCAGACTGTCAAGCAAGTGTGTGGAGGCAGGCTTTACTAATATAGCCTCACTCCACACTCCAGACTGTCAACCAAGAGTGTGGAGGCAGGCTTTACTAATATAGCCTCACTCCACACTCCAGACTGTCAACCACATGTATGGAGGTAGGCTTTACTAATATAGCCCCACTCCACACTCCAGACTGTCAACCAAGTGTGTGGAGGCAGGCTTTACTAATATAGCCTCACTCCACACTCCAGACTGTCAACCACATGTGTGGAGGCAGGCTTTACTAATATAGCCTCACTCCACACACCAGACTGTCAAGCAAGTGTGTGGAGGCAGGCTTTACTAATATAGCCTCACTCCACACTCCAGACTGTCAACCAAGAGTGTGGAGGCAGGCTTTACTAATATAGCCTCACTCCACACTCCAGACTGTCAACCACATGTATGGAGGAAGGCTTTACTAATATAGCCCCACTCCACACTCCAGACTGTCAACCAAGTGTGTGGAGGCAGGCTTTACTAATATAGCCTCACTCCACACTCCAGACTGTCAACCACGTGTGTGGAGGCAGGCTTTACTAATATAGCCTCACTCCACACACCAGACTGTCAACCACTTGTGTGGAGGCAGGCTTTACTAATATAGCCCCACTCCACACTCCAGACTGTCAACCATGTGTGTGGAGGCAGGCTTTACTAATATAGCCTCACTCCACACACCAGACTGTCAAGCAAGTGTGTGGAGGCAGGCTTTACTAATATAGCCTCACTCCATACTCCAGACTGTCAACCAAGAGTGTGGAGGCAGGCTTTACTAATATAGCCCCACTCCACACTCCAGACTGTCAACCACATGTATGGAGGTAGGCTTTACTAATATAGCCCCACTCCACACTCCAGACTGTCAACCAAGTGTGTGGAGGCAGGCTTTACTAATATAGCCTCACTCCACACTCCAGACTGTCAACCAAGAGTCAGGAGGCAGGCTTTACTAATATAGCCTCACTCCACACTCCAGACTGTCAACCACATGTATGGAGGTAGGCTTTACTAATATAGCCCCACTCCACACACCAGACTGTCAACCAAGTGTGTGGAGGCAGGCTTTACTAATATAGCCTCACTCCACACTCCAGACTGTCAACCACGTGTGTGGAGGCAGGCTTTACTAATATAGCCTCACTCCACACACCAGACTGTCAACCACGTGTGTGGAGGCAGGCTTTACTAATATAGCCCCACTCCACACTCCAGACTGTCAAACACATGTGTGGAGTCTTCTTTACTAATATAGCCTCACTCCACACTCCAGACTGTCAACCACGTGTGTGGAGGCAGGCTTAACTAATATAGCCTCACTCCACACTCCAGACTGTCAAGCAAGTGTGTGGAGGCAGGCTTTACTAATATAGCCTCACTCCACACTCCAGACTGTCAACCAAGAGTGTGGAGGCAGGCTTTACTAATATAGCCTCACTCCACACTCCAGACTGTCAACCACATGTATGGAGGTAGGCTTTACTAATATAGCCCCACTCAACACTCCAGACTGTCAACCAAGTGTGTGGAGGCAGGCTTTACTAATATAGCCTCACTCCACACTCCAGACTGTCAACCACATGTGTGGAGGCAGGCTTTACTAATATAGCCTCACTCCACACACCAGACTGTCAAGCAAGTGTGTGGAGGCAGGCTTTACTAATATAGCCTCACTCCACACTCCAGACTGTCAACCAAGAGTGTGGAGGCAGGCTTTACTAATATAGCCTCACTCCACACTCCAGACTGTCAACCACATGTATGGAGGAAGGCTTTACTAATATAGCCCCACTCCACACTCCAGACTGTCAACCAAGTGTGTGGAGGCAGGCTTTACTAATATAGCCTCACTCCACACTCCAGACTGTCAACCACGTGTGTGGAGGCAGGCTTTACTAATATAGCCTCACTCCACACACCAGACTGTCAACCACTTGTGTGGAGGCAGGCTTTACTAATATAGCCCCACTCCACACTCCAGAATGTCAACCATGTGTGTGGAGGCAGGCTTTACTAATATAGCCCCACTCCACACTCCAGACTGTCAACCACGTGTGTGGAGGCAGGCTTTACTAATATAGCCCCACTCCACACTCCAGACTGTCAACCACGTGTGTGGAGGCAGGCTTAACTAATATAGCCTCACTCCACACTCCAGACTGTCAACCACATGTGTGGAGGTAGGCTTTACTAATATAGCCCCACTCCACACTCAAGACTGTCAACCACGTGTGTGGAGGCAGGCTTTACTAATATAGCTTCACTCCACACTCCAGACTGTCAACCACGTGTGTGGAGGCAGGCTTTACTAATATAGCCCCACCCCACACTCCAGACTGTCAACCACGTGTGTGGATGTAGGCTTTACTAATATAGCCTCACTCCACACTCCAGACTGTCAACCACATGTGTGGAGGCAGGCTTTACTAATATAGCCTCACTCCACACTCCAGACTGTCAACCATGTGTGGAGGCAGGCTTTACTAATATAGCTTCACTCCACACACCAGACTGTCAACCACGTGTGTGAAGGAAGTCTTTATTAACATAGCCTCACTCCACACTCCAGACTGTCAACCATGTGTGGAGGCAGGCTTTACTAATATAGCCTCACTCCACACTCCAGACTGTCAACCACATGTGTGGAGACAGGCTTTACTAATATAGCCTCACTCCACACTCCAGACTGTCAACCAAGTGTTTGGAGGCAGGCTTTACTAATATAGCCTCACTCCACACTCCAGACTGTCAACCACGTGTGTGGAGGCAGGCTTTACTAATATAGCCTCACTCCACACTCCAGACTGTCAACTAAGTGTGTAGTAGGCTTTACTTCCAACCTTGATCTGGCTGACCTCAAGCAAGCATGATGACTGGTGTTGATTTGCAATGTGTTCAATGCATTTGGGGTTATTATGGGTGTGTTTCATTACAAGGAGTAATTTCAGTTTTGATCTTATCCAGAAGTAAAAACATCTGTTAATTAGATAACAAATGTCTTGGCTGCTCCAGATCCTCAGGCCAAGAACTTACCTTCAGGGTCCTCAAATGTAACAAGGACCACATCCTCCTCTCTTCTCTCCATAGATTTCACTTCTCCTCCTCCACTCTTCTTTCTGCTCTCAAAGTACATCTCCAGGAATTCATCAGAGATTCCTCCACAGCCTGTCACTATAATCGTGTCTGGTGAGACAAGAGGAACTTCTTCTTCAGGGGGTGGCGTTGTTGGCTTGGGTTTGTACAGGGTGACAACTGTGTCTGGTGTTGGCTCAGGAGCTTCATCACATGTTATGGAGACCTCAGACTGTAGCATCTCTGGTGGGTATCGACTCACTTGAATATGTGTGTCCGATATTGTGTGTGTCACCTTCTTCAACACTCCCTCCACAGCTAGCAATGGTGCACCAATATTAAACAATTACTAATTTGCATTAACAATTTAGGACTGTATTGTCATTTTCTTGGTTGATGGCTAGCAGAAACATGTGAAATAAGCTCTTAAATAATCTAATTTGACCTCTTTTTCTGTTCACTCCCTACCAAAGCCACAATCCAGAATACAGGGGTAGCTTATTGTAGCATCCAATATACTGACAAAGGTTTCCAAAAGAGTTGCAGCAAATCTGTATACATAATTTGTTTGTTTGTTGTTTAACGCCGCACTCAGCAATATTCCAGCTATATGACGGCGGTCTGTAAATAATGGAGTCTGGACCAGACAATCCAGTGATTAATATCATGAGCATCGATCCATGCAATTGGGATACGAAGACATGCAACAACCAAGTCAGCGTGCCTGACCACCCGATCCCGTTAGTTGCCTCTTACGACAAGCATAGTTGCTTTTTACGGCAAGCATGGGTTGCTGAAGATCTATTCTACCCCGGATCTTCACAGGTCCTGTATACATAAAGTTAGGAAATATTGAACAGTTATCATTCTACATTCTAAAACATTGATTATCTGTGATGTCTGCATCAAGGACACTAACGCATGTGTATTTTCTTTTGGTCAAGCCTTCTTCATCTTCAGGATATACAAGTCAAGATTCAAATAATTATACTGAACCAAAAAAGTTACGGATGCCGAATACTTTTTTGTAGTGAAAACTAAGAACAATTAAAAAACAAATATTCATGATCCATGACTTTTTTTGTTCAGTATATTTATATCAACTGGCATGAAACAAGACAACATAGGTTTATTAATCTATCATTTTCCCGCCCCGCTGAAACCAAGGCCTACCGTATTTTCTTGAGTATAGTGCGCACCCATGTATAATGCGCACCCCCCTCTAGCGGGTTCAATATTTTGGGAAAAAAGAAATTTGAATATTATGCGCAGAAAATTTTTACACCGTACCCTTTGAGCGAAGTCCGGCAAACGAACGGGTGCTGAGAAACTTCATCAGTACAAATTCGAAATTTGAGATAAAAAATCACCAGACATGTTTATTTACCTTTTAAATAGTATTTATTGTTCTGCTAGGCATTGTTTTATATTTAGGGATTAAGATTACCTTGCGTATTTTCTCGTAAACTAAGCTGGAAACAGCAATCAGCTGTACACACGTTTTCTTGGAATCGACCGGTGATTCGGTTAAGACACACCCAATGATATAACTTTATAAGATTTTTAATGCAAGGATCGGCGACAATTGTATCTGAAACTATTTTATTTATCAGGAATAATATATTCCATTATTTTCTTAATTATATGCAACCTTTACTAAACATATTTAAAATAATAATAACCCTAAGCGAAGTAGCTGATCGCTATTCCCGGGTATTATTTTTTACATGGAACATGTCTGACCAGTCACCGTCAAGGCTCACGCGCACGTGATCACGTGATCACGTGATCGCGTGATCGCGTGAATTTCATGTTGACATAGAATCGTCAAACAAAAACAAATATGACTTTTAACGAGTCAAAGTATGTCATTTATGATATATGTATCGATTCTCTGTCAACTAAAGTTTGTTTCAAGGCGTCAATAGCGGTATTCTGACCGTGGTTGCTGTTAATAACGGTGAGTTGTGCGATCTTCCGATCGCTTCACACACGATTTCGCCGAAATTAATAAAAACAATATTATAAGGAATTTTGAATAAAATCAATGAAATAAGTTACAAACATAAGTCCAGATATACAAAGAACACTTTTTATAGCCAGACAGTGTAATTACATGATTATTTTGCGTACTTCAGTATGGATTTGTTGACATGGTATTCCCGGTGTTTCATGCTCACGGTAATGTCTTTCCATGGGGGAAAAAAACATCCAAACTCATAATTCATGTATAATGCGCACCCCCTTCCACACAGCTGTGTTTTTTGGAAAAAAAGTGCGCACTATACTCAAGAAAATACGGTACATGGGGTACATGCCAGTCCCTTGTGGTATCTATACCCTACCATCTGGACGTGCAAACTCCACCACGGCTGTTCCATCTTCTCTGTTCATCACATTGACAACAGGCCCCCCTCCCGATCTGCGCCGGTTCTCGAAGTACAGACTGATGCTGTCATTGCTGAGGGAGGCAGGTAGTCCTTTCACTTCAATTTTGTAACATGGAGTGATTTCTGGAAATATACAAAGGCACTTGTGTAGCACAATATGTTTTAGAATAGCCTCACGACCTTACAAATATCTTTATCAAACCTCCACGTCAGAATGATGAGATCAGATTGGTCCACATGATCATGATAAAATACGGTGTAAACCGCCTTGTAGGGTAATAAATTTCTCAGCGGGGGAATAAATCTCTTATACCCCACCACGAGCACTACAGGCTGCATGTGTATTTCTGAGAGACAGAATAAATCCTTTAAACCCGCTTCCAAGCAAAAAGCTGCACTCTTTTTCCGAGCCAATGGATGTCACGTGACATAGCACAAACTAACTTAAGCTCAATCAAGTAGATGTTTTTTTATAAATTGGGAATTTAATTGAATTATTTTACAATGTCATATTTAAACATGTCGGTAAGATAAATTTGTTGTAGCAGGATCACGAGGGATCATACTGAGGTCACTCACAAGACTAGTGATCATGTATCTTAAATCTTCAAATTCTAATCATAAATTCTCAAGTTATAGCATTTCCGGTTTTCTTTTTACCAAAACATTCCAAGGGTCATATAGGTGGTTCATAAGGTAGGAAGTCTTCAACATTTCTCATAAAAAAACAACAAAAAAAAAACAAAACAATTGTGGCAATCATGGTAACTGGAGGCCATATTTGATCAAACACACCAAGCAGCCTCCATAGTGTGATTCTAATGGAATTCACAATGCGGAACAGTATAGAATGAGTCTTAGTTAGTTATAATAATTGATTAGAGATCATATAATGAAGGATGAAGTTTAGCCTCTATAATTATGACACTACAATAACTAACTGGAACTTTATGTCTCATCAGACATGTCAGTAGAGAAATATCAGATAAACCTAGCATGCCAATAGGACCAGCACTACATACTTGGTGCGCTATTCTCAGTCATATTGAATCCCGATTAGAAATTGGCACTAGTCCTATAGTCCTTGCCAAACTGCCCAATAGTAAAGGTATCCTAAGGACTAGTATAAATTGGCCATTTTTAAAGGTTTTGCTATATGTTATCATTATAAGGACTAGTGGACTGAAACTGTTAGTTTCTGTTGAATACAGAATGCAAACCTTCAATAATCTACCCTGGAAGATATCTACCTGTTGTGTCAGCACCTTCAGTTGACCAATCCCGATCGGGGTTCCTTGCTTTATCGCCTGTTTCCGCAGGGTCCGTGACCACGCCCTCATCTGTCCCAGTCCTGTCAGGTTCGGCTGCTGACACTGCATCTTTGATGGCAATCTTCTTTTCCATGTCATACTGATCTGAAATACAGTGAATAGAGATACCTCACACATCTATCATTTAGCAAACAACCCTGAAATAACCTTGTGCAATATGATTATCACAAATGTGGTTTCTATGTTGCAATGTTATATTTTCTGTGAACATAATATAAAAGTCTTTTGAAAGAATCAGTATGTTTTAAAGACTCAAATTAAGGGATGGATATTTTTGCAAATTGAAAAATGATTTTCAATTTTAATCAGTCCATATCACACACAAATGTTCAGCAACCAGAAACCGATATGTAAGTCACCTATATGAACATTCATTGTGAATCTCTTGAACTATACAGACAGCCACCGACATTTTGGTGGACAAACTGCAAACAACAAGTGAGCTACCTACCCTGCTCCAGTTACAGCTCTACTACCTACCCTGCTCCAGTTACAGCTCTACTACCTACCCTGCTCCAGTTACAGCTCTACTACCTACCCTGCTCCAGCTCTACTACCTACCCTGCTCCAGTTCCAGCTCTACTACCTACCCTGCTCCAGCCCTACTACCTACCCTGCTCCAGTTCCAGCTCTACTACCTACTAGGGCTGGGACGAGTCCAAATTTACTACCCGGGTACCCACCCCACTATTACCCGACCCTACCCGGGTACCCGCTGTAGGTCTCAAGAGATAGGTACAATATGTCCAACTGGGAAACGTTTGACCGTACTCCTTTCAAAAAGTATTTAGATACAGGTAAAAAATGATCTGGTCATGCATACACTGAAGTAGACTGAAGTTTTATATTTTTGCAAACATATAAAGTCAGAAGGAATGTGTGCATCATCAGAAAGAAATGTGAACATTTGTCTCTTATAGTGTAACCATAGAGTTCTAGATAAATTTTCCCATTTAACAACTTAATCACTTGATGATCCACAGGTCCAGGTAGTCCTGTGGGTACCTGGGTCCTATTCAAGACCCACCTGACCCGAGTACCTGAGTTTCCAGTTCCAGCCCTACTACAAACCCTGCTCCAGCCCTACTACCTACCCTGCTCCAGTTCCAGCCCTACTACCTACCCTGATCCAGTTCCAGACCTACTACCTACCCTGCTCCAGCCCTACTATCTACCCTGCTCCAGTTCCAGCCCTACAACCTACCCTGATCCAGTTCCAGACCTACTACCTACCCTGCTCCAGTCCTACTACCTACCCTGCTCCATCCCTACTACCTACCCTGCTCCAGTTCCAGCCCTACTACCTACCCTGATCCAGTTCCAGACCTACTACCTACCCTGCTCCAGCCCAACTACCTACCCTGCTCAAGTTCCATCCCTACTACCTACCCTGCTCCAGCCCAACTACCTACCCTGCTCCAGTTCCAGCCCTACTACCTACCCTGCTCCATCCCTACTACCTACCCTGCTCCAGCCCAACTACCTACCCTGCTCCAGTTCCAGCCCTACTACCTACCCTGCTCCAGTCCTACTACCTACCCTGCTCAAGTTCCAGCCATACTACCTACCCTGCTCCATCCCTACTACCTATCCTGCTCCAGTTCCAGCCCTACTACCTACCCTGATCCAGTTCCAGACCTACTACCTACCCTGCTCCAGCCCAACTACCTACCCTGCTCCAGTTCCAGCCCTACTACCTACCCTGCTCCAGTTTCAGCCCTACTACCTACCCTGCTCAAGTTCCAGCCCTACTACCTACCCTGCTCCAGTTCCAGCCCTACTACCTACCCTGCTCCAGTTCCAGCCCTACTACCTACCCTGCTCCAGTTTCAGCCCTACTACCTACCCTGCTCCAGTTCCAGCCCTACTACCTATCCTGCTCCAGTTCCAGCCATACTACCTACCCTGCTCCAGTTCCAGCCATACTACCTATCCTGCTCCAGTTCCAGCCCTACTACTGTGCAGAGTTGCGTCCCTTGGGCACGCCAGAAACCTATGATTGGGGGTTCAAATCCCGGTTCACCCCGATTTTGTTTCAAGGTTTGTCAGCACCATACCCGTGCTTGTGGGTTTCACCGATGTGCTAAATGTCTGAGGCCTGCATCACTTCGGGCTTTCCTCCCACATTAAGCTGACATGCCGCGATATAACTGAAATACTGTTAAAAGCGGCGTAAAACCCAACTCACTCACTCACTGCAGACCTACTACCTACCCTGCTCCAGTTTCAGCATGATTCCCTGATGTCCATTATAAGGAGGGGGTGGTTCTGGTGGGTACTGAGGAAATCCAGGATAAGCAGGATAGGAGTGTCCATCTTGCTGTCCTGGGTAAACCGGCGGTTGTACGGAGTATGAGCCAGTGGAGTGCGGCCCTGGTGAAATATCTCTTCCAGCTGGAGAATCTGCTTGGGAAGTTTCAGTGGAGGTTGGGTCATTCTGTGTCCTCTGATCATTTCTGGGTGGTGCAGGTTGTTGGCCTGTCTGTCCAGGGGTCTCATCACCGTGCTGGGAGAGGTTCGGATGCTGCTGCTGCTGGCTGCCATCAGGATGGGGGTACTGATGCTGACCATAAGGGGCAGGACATTGGAAGATAGCACCAGTTTGTGGATTAACATACCCACCATATCTGTAATCATAATAGCCAAACCTAGGATCATAATAAGGTGTTTGGGGGTATGAAATCTGCCCTCCTTGTTGTGGGTTGGGATATGATCCCTGCGGATGTGGATAGTAAGGCTGTCCTTGACCAGGCCACTGTCCTTGCTGACCTGGATAAGGATATGAGGGCACCTGTTGACCCGTCTGTCCATGTCCTTGTACACTGGGGTGTTGTCCACTGTCCTGAGGCTGTCCTGGACCAGGCCCTTGACCCGGCTGACCTGAGTAAGGATGACCTGTAAAGCCTTGCTGATATGGCCTCTGAGGCCCTGTCTGTGTCCGTGGTGGCAGTTGAGTATTAGTGGAAGCAGGATCAGCTTTGATGTCATCCACTCCTGATATATGCCCATCTGAGGGCAGGTCTGCTCCATCAGTGGCATCCTTCAGATGTTCAGCCATCCCAGCTGCAGGATCAGGTGGCTTTCTGGTATCCATCTGAAGAGCAAGCACACAAAAAGGTCAAAAGGGAGTCAAAGGAAGAACAGTTTGTTTTTGCTGCAGTCAGTAAGTAATCATGCGTTCAGTATTGAGCGGTTCAATGGTTAAAGCATTCACTCGTCATGCCGAAGACCCTGGTTCGATTCCCCACATGGGTACAATTTGTGAGGCCCATTTCTGGTGTCCCCCGCTGTGATATTGCTGGAATATTGCTGAAAGCGGCATAAAACAATACTCACTCACTCACTCACTCAGAATTCAGCACAGTCAGCCTTCATCTATTCATTTTCTGATGCTTGGAACTGAGAGAATTGATCAATTTCTGGTTAAAACAATCCTACTCTGCAATTGAGTTCTTTGGCAATGACATATTTTGGTCCAAAATAATTTCAAAAAAATGTTTGGCAGCCCATGCTACATAAAACATCTTTCCTGTTTGGAGTTCAGGGTATTCTGGAACAGCTATACCAACCCTGCATAGTATGGAAATTTCCTTGTGTGTATGTATGTTGTTTAATGCTGCACTCAACAATAATCAGCTATATGGCAAGGTCTGTGAATAATAGAGTCTGGACCATACAATCAAGTGATTTACATCATGAGCATCGATCCATGCAATTGGGATACAATGACATGCTTCAACCAAGTCAGCGAGCCTGACCACCTGATCCCGTTAGTCGCCACTTATGACAAACATAGTTGCCTTTTACAGCAAGCATGGGTTGCTGAAGACCTATTCTACCCCGGATCTTCACGGGTGTGAGAGAAGTGATCAGTTTCTGATAAAAACAATCCTATTCTGCAAAATATGTCATTCTTTGGCAATGACATATTTTGGTCCAAAATATTTTCAAAAAAATGTTTGGCCTTGTTGGCAGCCCATGCTACACAAAACATCTTCCCTGTCCATATAAAAAGTTTCAAAATAAAAGTCAACAAAGTTTTCTCAGAAAATGGTTTAAGTGGTGATTACAATACCATAATACAAATACTATGAGTGAGTGAGTGGGTGGGTGTGTGAGGAAAGCCTGAAGTGTTGCAGGTTTCACACATTCACCACTTTGGTGAAACTCATGAGCCCAGGTATGGTGCTGCAATCATAGAAGCATAATACATAATCAGGGCAGACTGGGATACGAACCCACAATCATAGGTTGCTGCTGTGCCCATCTGGGTACTTGAGTCCTTGAAAATCGAACCAATATCGGGAAATATGTTGGAAGAATGCTGAATACCTCAAACACTATCAGGACATTCTTGATCACAAGGAGAAGACGGCAGTCCCTTAAAGTGATGACACTATTTGCAATTAGGATTAATACTTTGAGATATTGACCCAAACTGTTCTGAATCCTGAATGCAGTGAGATCGAGGGGTAGAGAACAAACTTATCTTAAAAATTGATGAAACTGATTGTTCGCAATAACAGGTCACTAGACAAGGAGTTTGATAATCCTGATACTGAAACCATTTCCAAAATGTTGTAATCAATATTGTTGTATGTCAGTGTAATGTATTGTTAACAATGTTGCAACTGTTTCACATTGTCTCTATTAAGACTCATTTGAAGTTCATAGCAAAGTGTTTTCGCAATGGTTAGTTGTCAGGAATGTAGTACTATATATTGTAAGCAGTGATGTGGAAGGTACTATATTCAGATGGTTTTGGAGTCAAGGGTTGTCCGGAATCTTCTTGAACAGCTATACCAACCCTGTATAGTATGGAAATTTCTTTCTTTGTTTGTTTGTTTGTTTGTTATTTAATGCTGCACTCAACAATATTCCAGCTATATGGCAGCAGTCTGTAAATAATCGAGTCTGGACCAGACAATCCAGTGATTGACATCATGAGCATCCACGCATCAACCAAGTCAGGGAGCCCAGAGCTCCAGATAAGCTGCGTATCTCCGTAAAATACGCATCAGAAATGCAGAAATATGCAGTGAAATAAAATTCAAGCGTATCAAATACGCAACGAACATTACAGATACGCTACAAAAAATGAAACTAGTGCGTATCATCAAAATATTGTGAAGTAACCCTGCATATTCGATTAGCAAATGAGCAACTTATTTTGAAATTATATACGGACATTCCGTCAACCTTGCCAAACTCCACGATGACAGTTACATCATGATCATTTGCCATCACACTTTCTTGTGGAAGTATGCGTTATTTTTTAGTCCTATAAAGTTCTCGAACCCACACGACAACAGTTTGAAGGGACTAGATGAATAGTGTTTTTAAATATTTAACTTAAATACCCACATGTGTAAAAACTAGTGGGTAACAGAAATTTGAATACCCAGATAGAATTTCTGATACCCAATGATTTTAAAATGCATGGGTAAAATACCCACAACACCAAAAGCTTATCCGGAGCTCTGGGGAGCCTGACCACCCGATCCCTGTAGTCGTCACTTATGACAAGCATAGTCGCTTTTTACAGCAACCATGGGTTGCTGAAGAACTATTCTGCCCTAGATCTTCACAGGTCATTTCTAGACTCTACCTAGACTACATAAGTGGGGAAAGTACATGTCTCTAACATCTCACATTACATCAAGACCAGCAGATCATTGTTATCACCCTGGATATCCAGCCTAGGCCTATTTTGGAAACTTGACCACTGTTACTGCTAGGTGAATATAATCACTTACTATTTCGCTATTAACACAGCTTTTGTATTTTATACTGCAATTAAATTTTGTACTGCCATCAAACTTACTTTGCAGTAATTTGTATTGATTTGTAAACCCAGTTTATTAAATAGTACAATTGTTACTTGTAAACAATTTTTTTTTTGTCGGTTCACAATGAATTCTTTTAAGTGTAGATTTCTGGGTTAATATATTGTTTAAATTTGGAAGTTGACACGTAACAATACTGCCATGTGTGATTTTACTGCACATGATTATCTTGAAATGGCAATAATAATGACATATGATTCATCCTCTGCACTACCGGTGATTCAGAAAACAATGCCTCACATCGATATTTCAGTGACTGTTTTAGTTCGAAGACCTAAAGATAATAATCTGCAACAATTATTGTATCGTACCACACCTAAACTCTCTGTCATTCTTGTTGCTTGTTGGTTTTCAAAAACAGAAATACATAGCTAGTTTAGAAATAAATATTTGCCATCAATGAGTAGTTTTTTTTCAGATCTGAAGTGAGGCAGGTATTAGACATTTACCAGTTTAGTGAAAACCCAGGAACATGGGCTGACACACTTAGAAACATAATAGGGGCAGACCTAGATTCGAACCCACGATGATAGCTTTCTGGCATGCCCTAGGGATGCAACAATGCACAGCAAATCACAGTGCCCTAGACGACTTGGCCACCCTTGCTTCACTGATCTGTATGAGGGCATGCAATGATAAAGTCTGTTCTTATCAATGAAATATTGCACCCTTCCTTGCTCAGTATGCAATCAAAATGTCAAACAAAACAAATTCTAACCTGATTTTAATATCATCTAATCAAACGTAGAATCCTCCATGAAAATGTAATATATGCAATAATCATACATGTATGCTGTATTTATCATTTAGCCATCTTATCCACAATTGCTTATGTCAACAACTAATTTCACATTTTCACAATGTTTCTAAATACTCATGAAGGTGCAAGAAAGGTTTTGCATTTGTCTTATGTGAGTGAGTGAGTTGGGTTTAACGCCGCTTTTAACAGTATTCCAGTTATATCACGGCGTGTCAGCTTAATGTGGGAGGAAAGCCCCAAGTGATGCAGGTCTCAGACGTTTACCACTTCGGTGAAAGCCACGAGCATGGCTATGGTGCTGACAAACCTGGAAACATAATCGGGGTGAACTGGTAGTCGAACCCTCAATCAAAGGTTTCTGGCGTGCCCAAGGGACGCAACTCTGCACAGCGAATCGCGGCGTCTTAGACGACTGGGTCACCTGTGCCCCCTCATTAGTCTTAAACAGAAAACATGGGTTGCCACTAATGTTTAGTTTTCCCACTTGTATTTGAGAATCATGAGAGGAAGAGAAAATGCATGAGACAAGTCAAGTAGTAGGACGAGTTCTATGGATGAACAACTTCTTTATTACAATTAGTGCGACGTTTCGGTTTAGATCCTAACACCTTTATCAAGCAAGTGATGGATAGTGTTAAACAACATAGGTATATATATATATACTTATTAACATCAAAGTTTATACAGTAAATTGATTGATGGACACAGAGAGCTGATTAAGATAATGGGCGATGTTTTTCAATTTATCTTCCCTTCACTAACCCGCTAGGTGCGCTGACCCGGACGGTCCAACTTTAAACTGACGGCGCATGTGGTATGCGCGATATGAGCACTACATGTTACTATGACGCCTATAGACAGTTAACTAGTATAACCTTCACCTTTTTCGGCAACGGTCACGCTTGTGTGTGGACAGCATATCTTTTCGCCTAAACAATGATTTATCTATTGCCATGTCCGGAAATAAATGTTCCTTGATTTAATGATACATCAGGGATGACCACGACTGATTATATTGTATAGTTATCCACTAGATAGGCGTTCGAAGCGATGCGGTGAGATCAGCTGATCGTTCATCCCAGGTCGCTTTGTTGAAGTTTTGCAATCGGTACTGAAAGTGTTGCCCTTCATGTATGAATATGAAAATTAAGTAGATTTTGTATACGTTCCTATATCTATGTTGTAGCATCGTCGAGCAGGCTACATCATATGCATGCATTTCAGTATGTACAACGGTGAGGGGATACGGTAAGCGAAATGTGAAGGTATCATGCAACGTTGCCCGTAGCCTCAATGTTGTGAATATTGACAGCAACACATGTAAGTATTTGTCAGATATATAACAGAGAGCAATGAGGAATGTTCTCAAGAAATTGTAAGAGTATCAGGCACTGTAAAATTATGTCATAAACTAGATATTATGTTACAATGTTCAAAATAAAAGAAATGGAATTCACTGAAATCTGTTTTGATATTTAAAAAAATTGG